ACATTTATTAGATTCATAAACTATGCTGGATTTATACCAAACTTTGACAGAAGCTTCTTACAATCAAAAGATAGTATCTTAAGGAATATTTTTATTGATTTTTTTCCTCATTTTTGTTGAGCCTGCGATTAACAGCAAAAGTAGGCGAGACTTACGAATTTTTATTAGTTTCAAATGATATTAACATCAAATAAAAAAAAAACATTTGTTTTAAAATTAGATTAAGTTAAAAAGAAACAAAAAGGTTTACTCATAAAAAGTGGATATTTTAAAGTTTTAATAATTAATATCTGTTAACTGTTGCAGATCTTTCATACAGCATAATTAAAATGTACTGTTACTGATAAATAAAAAAGGGAAAAATGATAATGTAGTAAATACTGCATAGATTTTAAAAATAAAAATTAAAAAACAAATCTTATTGTAGTTATCAAAACTTCAAAGGTTTTTGGTAAGTTTTTAGGTGAAAGGATTTCAATTAAATTCTTTATTCCAAAAATATTTTGTTTCAGATTAAACCACTAAACCATGATTTAAGAAATCAATGGGTTACTAAAAGATGCAACTATTGTTTGATTACCATAACAAATCCTATTTATTTTGTAACCTAACCATTTTGTCCTTTATGAGGAAATGCATGCTGCTTTTTTTGGTACTTATGGTGAAAATGTCAATTTTCATCAGCTAACAATTTTTTGAAAGATCCTGTAACAATGAGAGAATAATTGACTATTTGCAAGAAATGTAATCAAAAGGAGGAAAGTCTTTGTTGTAAAATATTATTTAACACAACTTAAATTTCCTTGTCTTTAAGGTGATACATTTTGAAAAACTTGTCTTACGAATTCAAAAAATTCTAAGTTAACTAATAATTTTTACAGCTGTGTAGACGGTACACATAAATTGACATAATGGAAGTTTCCTTATTTGATAGGTTAACCATGATTTCTTTATTAGCTATGGTTACAGAAACTTACAGCTCAGAGTGGTTTCACATTCATCGTTTTTATTATCTGTTTTCTGGTTGGTTGACAGTGATTTGAACTCTCAAAAATATGTAGTATTGAGATTAGGCAAAATGAATATCAAACTTCGATAAGTTTAATTGAATGATTTCCATATATTTTTAGTTTCGACAGAAGTCATCACCTCGGGCAGAACGACCGTTTTCTGAACCAAACATTCATCCTGGGGATGATCATGATCATTTGAATGAGAAGGAAAAGAAACACAGAAGCATGTTCGGATTTCTCAAAAAGAAGAAAGACAAAGATCATACAGAGGAACACAAAGAACATAAAAAGGATAAAAAACATAAAGACAGAAGACCTGATGCAACATTATAGAAAAACATTAGTGCAAAAATTGTCTTCCATAAATTCATTTAGAAAAAATGTAGTGGCTTAGAATACACAATGGGTATTTAAATGGCTAAAAATTCACAAAGGCTATAAAATGGCTAACAATACATGTTGGATGTTAAAATGGCTTGGAATTCACAGTGGCTGTTTAAATGGTTCAGATGACCCATTGGTTATTTTATTAAATGACTTAGAATACATAGTGACCATAACGGTTCAAAATATTAGGAGTATGTGGTTGTTTTCATGATAACAGGGTTTTACTTTGTATGATGAAAAATTACTTGTAGGTACTTTTAAAAGCCACTCATTTATAGATATACTTAATAAAATAAGGAGTTTCATTTTTAAGGGTAAAAGTTCTGCTTTTATACGAGTGTGTCATCCCATACATTTCGTTAACTTTCATATAATTTTGTTTCTTATATCTGGTCAGTATTTCATCATTTACTTCATTCCATGTATGGATTTGCCAAAGAGGAAATAATTTTGTTTAAATGATAACCATTACATAATACAGGTAAAAACTTTAAATATTTTTTTGTCACAAAAAAATATTATTGATTATTTTCAAATTCTACAAATATTAAATGATCTCAGTTGGAATTCAGGGCATAAGGTTACGAGTTGTTCTTCAAATTTCTGAAAATTGTTACAAATTCTGTTAATCATGTTTATGTATAAAACAGTTATGTTGTTAAATATATATGATTCAGATTTGAGTCTGTAAATAAACAAGTTTCTTACCAGTATGCACAAAAATGTTGAAAACAACAATGTGATATCTGTTGTCCTATAATTAGACACAATTTATAATTGTTATTATTGTTTGTTTTGTCTCACTGTCAGAATTCCATAACTTAATTCATAGTTATGAACTGACCAATCATATTGCACCATTTAATCTTCCAGTAGGAGGTGATGCCATGAATATTCATCAATTTGTTATCTTTCAACAACAAAGAAATGTGCATTGCTGTAAGGCTAAAGTATGTGAAATCTGCATAGCCTAGTCTCCAGGAAAATATAAAATAACCAGATGTGTTGAAAACAGAATTGAAATTTATATTTAATCTAAATCTTTTACATAACAAATGTTTTATAAGCATATCAAAATTATTGTTCAGGAATATTTCTTATTATTACGGATCATTTTCATATTTGGTCCCAGTTACAAATAATGCATATCAATGCATGTATGTAAGTTTACATTTAATGCTAGTACATGTAAATGTATGTATGAATTATGTTAGTATATATATAGAAGTGCTCTGAAATATGCATATATATAGGTATGTGTAACTTATGGACCAAGTGCTATAGCTAGCAAAGTAATAAAAATTGTTGTTTTATGCAATATTTAACTGTTACTGTATATTTTTTATATTTCTATTTTGTTTAGATAGTTACTGTTTATATATAGATTTTTTTATAAACTTTATATATATATATGCAAACTACGGGACCAATTCAGTTTCTATTGTATTTTGTACAAGGGACCAGCTTTTTTTATTTATAGTGTGAAAAGATCTGATGTTCAAATAAATACTCCTTTCTTGAAAGCTATTTGTGTAAAATTTCCAAAAAAAGAATTATTTTCATCTGTGAGGATGTAAGCAAAAATACCATTTAAGTAAGTCTGACTCAACAGAATGTTTAAATAGCATTGAAAAATTAAAACATCCTATTTTCACAGAATTAAACAAATCCAAGGCAAGCAGACGTCATCTCCTGCTACGTCTATTGGCTATTTTTGTGGAATCTTGTGTAATATCTTTTAGACCAATTAGATTTTGAAATGTATGTTCAGTTGCATAGGAAAATCAGAAATATTAAAAAATAAATAAACCATTTTGCTTGTTTTTTTTTAAACTAAAAAAAAAAATGCATATAGCAATGATATTTAGTCAGCACAAAAGTTTGAGTTATAAGTGCCTCAGATTGTACACACTACAGTGGGACCAGACAAGGACAATTTCTGAGGTTTTAGAGTGGCATTATTAGCAATTTTAATTTAAGCCTAAAGTCTTAGATTTTCTGTAATTTGGGATTTATTATTTTTGCAAACTTATATATCTCTTTCTAAACTGATGAATCCTTCAAGTTGTTTCGAAATTACACAATATTGCAATACTCATGTATTAATAAACATATAGATGTTTTGCCATTATGTAGGAATTCCAACTATTGCTAGGTGGTAGCACAAAGCGTTTTTTTTTTCCAATTCATTGTCTTGTTCACCTTTTGATTTTCATTCTGCTGCAATAGTAGCAGAAAACCAGGTGACATTCTAGTGAAATTATTTACCTATTTTTGCACCTGAATGGCAAAAGTTAGTTCTTTATATTATACACAGAGAAAGGTTGTGATTAGGCTATTTATAGATGTGTACAAAATATATGCTTATTTAACAGATGCCAAATACATTGTACATGGTTTAACATATCATCAGTATTTGTTCATATATATATATGCTGGCAAATATAATTTTTTCATGAGGAAAAAAATAAAATAAATAAATTGATATAAAAATAGTCATGTGTTTTAAGTTCTTAAAGTCAAATAGATTTATTTATTTTATTTGAGTCGTAGATGTTTATAAATGAATGAGTAAGCATTGCCATTTTTACTGGTTTAACCTTGGTTGCTGTTTCCATCAGGATTTTGTGGACTAGTGGTACTGAAGGCCAGAAGTTAAGTGTTTTCATCAGTTTTGTCTTCATTCAAGACTCCAAGGTGTATATGTTAATCTGATAAAAGTCATTTTAACTTCCTCAGCAAACTGTTCAAAAATTATTTATACAAATTAAATACATATTTGTGTCCACACTTGTTTGTACTGCATTTTGAGTAAGAACAGTCTTGTCAGCTCTTCAGTTTGAATAATGTGTCTGTGTATGGAAATGTGTCTGCAGGCTGTCACCTTGTGAGCTATCTCATTAAAAACATCCAACTTAGCATGTTAGACTAGTTCAAAGCATGGTATCTTCATATAACATTATCTTGTCATTGTCCTGAATATACAAGTAATACTAGCTACTGGACATTAAGTCCATCAATCAATCAATGAGACAGGAACTTAAAAAAAAAAGGTGAGGAGAGGTTAATATATTGTGTTCTACATTAGTGTTTGTTTGGGTTAAACTAGTTCTTTAGTTCTTAAACTTCCCATTTTTACTCATTAAATAATAAAAGGTACATAGGAGAATGTGTAATAGAAATTGGTCCATTTGATAAAAACACAAATACATGTAAAACATTACAGTATTACTGATTGCTCACAGTTACTGAACAGTTTTACATTCTAGTTTTTGCCATTGCACTTCAAGGTAGATTTCATTGAAAACATTATATACTTCAGAATCTTTGCTCCTTTCTGTTTTAATAAAAAAAAAAACATATGGAACTGATAGTATTGAAGAACAATGAGCAGTTATGAAAAAGGAACTGAAAAGAAACTTTGAAATCTTATCATAGCTGGGATCATTCTGGCATTCCTACATATTTATGGCAGATCAATGAAAGTGGAGAGGATGTTTCTAATAGTGTTTTAACTTACGTATAAGCCCTTTTACTATTCTTGCAAATAAAGTATGTATAAACTATTCAAAACAAAGAAAGTCAAAAACTTGATAAAGACTATTGTTTATTAGTGAAAACAAAGGTTTCTTCATTTCTAGTTATTTTATTCCATTCGTTTATCTTGCCATTCATGACTATAAAAACTCCATGTTTATCCAAAACCTGTAAAGCCCCAATAGCAAAGCCTACATTAAAATCAGCATCACTGTCTTTAAAGGCCTCGGGTAGAAAAGCTCCAGTCAGGACCACAGTTTTATCTAGGTGATGTTCTGCCAAGAAAGCTCCTGTTTCTATCATTGTGTCTGTACCATGGGTGATCAAAATTTTCTTATGTATAGACTGTTTACAAGCATCTAGTATTTTCTGCCTGAAATATTGGCAATTGTCAAATTGAGATAAATATTAGGTTTTCAAATTGTTGTTATGGTTATTAAAAACACAACCCCTTAATCATGTTAATTGCTTGATTTGTTTCAATGGTATGTTTAACTATATCGATATAGTTGTTTGCAGTTATGTCATATGCATCTATCCAACATCGACCTAAGAAGTTTTTGCCACTGGCCTTTCACGAAATCATAAATCAATCTACCCCACATTGACCTAAATATCCAGGAAGTTTATGCTACTGGACGTCAAGGAAACAGTAAATCAATCAACCTAATTATGCATGAAGTATTTGCCAATGGACGTTTAGGACACAATAAATCAATCTACCCCACATTGACCTAAATATCCAGGAAGTTTATGCTACTGGACGTAAAGGAAACAGTAAATCAATCAACCTAATTATGCATGAAGTATTTGCCAATGGACGTTTAGGACACAATGAATCAATCAAACCCCACATTGACCTAAATATCCAGGAAATTTATGCTACTGTACGTTAAGGAAACAGTTAATCAATCAACCTAATAATGCATGAAGTATTTGCCAATGGACGTTTAGGACACAATAAATCAATCTACCCCACATTGACCTAAATATCCAGGAAGTTTATCCTTCTGGACGTCAAGGAAACACTAAATCAATCAACCTAATTATGCATGAAGTATTTGCAAATGGATATTTAGGACACAATAAATCAATCTTTACCCCACATCGACCTAAATATCCAGGAAGTTTATGCTACTGGACGTTAAGGAAACCGTAAATCAATCAATCTAATTATGCATGAAGTATTTGCAAATGGATATTTAGGACACAATAAATCAATCTACCCCACATCGACCTAAATATCCAGGAAGTTTATGCTACTGTACGTTAAGGAAACAGTTAATCAATCAACCTAATTATGGATGAAGTATTTGCCAATTGACGTTTAGGACACAATAAATCAATCTACCCCACATTGACCTAAATATCCAGGAAGTTTATCCTTCTGGACGTCAAGGAAACAGTAAATCAATCAACCATATTATGCATGAAGTATTTGCCAATGGACGTTTAGGACACAATAAATCAATCTATACCCCACATCGACCTAAATATCCAGGAAGTTTATGCTACTGGACGTTAAGGAAACCGTAAATCAATCAATCTAATTATGCATGAAGTATTTGCAAATGGATATTTAGGACACAATAAATCAATCTACCCCACATCGACCTAAATATCCAGGACGTTTATGCTACTGGACGTTAAGAAAACAGTAAATCAATCAACCTAATTATGCATGAAGTATTTGCCAATGGACGTTTAGGACACAATAAATCAATCTACCCCACATTGACCTAAATATCCAGGAAATTTATGCTACTGTACGTTAAGTAAACAGTTAATCAATCAACCTTATTATGCATGAAGTATTTGACAATGGACGTTTAGGACACAATAAATCAATCTACTCCACATCGACCTAAATATCCAGGAAGTTTATGCTACTGGACGTTAAGGAAACAGTAAATCAATTAACCTAATTATGCATGAAGTATTTGCCAATGGACGTTTAGGACACAATAAATCAATCTACCCCACATTGACCTGGATATGCCTGAAGTATTTGCCACTTTAATTGATGTTTAGGACACAATAAACCAATCTACCCCACATTGACCTAGATATGCCTGAAGTATTTGCCACTTTAATTGATGTTTAGGACACAATGAATCAATCTACCCCACATCGACCTGGATATGCATGAAGTATTTGCCAATGGACGTTTAGGACACAATAAATCTATCTACCCCACATCGACCTGGATATGCCTGAAAGTATTTGCCACTGGACATTTAGGACACAATAAATCCTACATCGATCAGGATATGCCTGAAAGTATTTGCCACTGGACATAATGTTGCTGAATTTTTAACAACAATTGACTCTTTATCATATCGTCCATTGTTCATTTACCTTTCTTGCTGGTTAATATCTTGACTATCTTTCCTACATGCAGTCACAAATTGCACTGTATATGGAACTTTTGCTCTTGAAATGATTCTCTGAGCTGCTGGATCTTCTATTTCAAAGGCATATCCTAAATGTGTCCTGGGGTACCTTTTATCAATGGTTCCTTAAACAGATATGGTTTAATTTCAGTTCTTAAAAATCTACACTTAATGTACAAGGGTTAAAGAAGTTACGCTGCATGACATGTGTTGTAAGGTGGCATTAACAGGATATAAATTTTAGATGTTTGATATTGTCTTTTAAAAATGTTTATTGACAGTTGACTGAGTAACAGTTGTCAAAATTAGCAATTCAAATCATAGAACAAATAACAAAAGCTTGTTTCACAAGTTTGTTTCTCTATTTTCAATATCTAACAAAGAGTTAGTGTTTGCCTGACAAATAAAAAATAAGTTTTTTTTTGTATTTAGTGCACATACAAATAGTTTAGTTGTAATAGTACTCAGGGAGATATGTTTATAGAAAGACACCTTTGTTCGTCTCTGTGTCAGGCCTTCGTATTACTTGTAAGCATTACATTCCATGGCTATTTATTCATATAAGTTAACATTTGAAGTATACACGTACTTTTACTGATTAAAAATTATATGTGTTATATGTTGAAAATGAATACTCCACTCTTGACCATTTATTCAGCGACCGAATAACCGTTCACCGCTTTTCTTTATCCTGTGCTACACGAACACCAGTTTATGTGCCGTCGAATCAAAGGGTAACAACAAGGCAGCTGAGTTCAGAGTAAAAGAAAACTCACATACTTGACCGATCACGTCTCATGTCAGCCTCCTCGTCAGTGCACAATCCCGTAAAACAATAAGGATGGGAAAATTATCACATAAACAAAAGGGCGAAAACTAAAATAAAATAGGTGACAAGTCGCCGTTTGTTTTCCTAAACTTGCAGCAACTGGTTATAATCAGCCAGCACTTGAATACTTACAATGAATGCCAATCAGCTAACTTACCACCCGTTTGTACAATAAGAATACCGTTTCTGTTCTCGTTCATCTTGTCAGTTTTTTTTTCGAAATAACTGAAATAAGAAAAGTATTAAAATTTCTAATATATTTCTTTAACACATGATGAGTAAGTTCATACTTTTCGAGGTACAGATCGATTAACTCTAAAAGTGAAAAGAAAAGGCAAGGAAAAAAAATTTGAAAACTAAACATAACCGCGTATTTTGTTTATGTCACAACTGCGATATTTCGGATTTCGGATTTGCATGAAATTTTGGAAATGTTTAATACTCGTTGAATTGCAACTGAATATAGAAAAAAAATATGTGTAACATTTATAATTATTTCATTAATACAACCATTTAAACAATTGTAAAAAGGTCCGGCTAAATATACAAAGAATGTACGTGAAAAGCTGTGAAAAAATGCATGTTATAATAATCATTTTAAAAAATCAAATACTTTTATAAAAGTATTTGATTTTTTAAAATGATTATTATAACATACCTCAGGATGACGTCTGCTGCAAGGTTTTATTGATCTTTACGTCATCAATTATCATTTCTCTATTGCAAAGTATCCCCCAACTTCACTAATTTATTAGTATCATAAGTTAATTATGGTACTACTGAACATAATCTAGTAGATATCGTTTAGGACGGCAAGAATATGGACACAAAATAAGCGATACCTACCATGAACGGCGAGTGTTACTGGTGTTCAGAGGAAATGAATTATGTATAGTATTACAACAGTGCCATAAGGAGGACAAGACTTGTTTAACCTTCAGCTAAGTAGTGGTTAGGCTATTAATCAATTATTTCACAGTTTGCGAAACGTTAGAAAAAGGTACATGGTGAAAAAAGTAAATGTATAACTGAGGGGTGTTGATTTATCAAATGATAAATTAGAGACTAGAAGCACAAGGAATATACCACTAGATTTTCTATCCACGTTTCTACCAAAAACTTACATATTAATTTTCAACATAAAATTTGATGTCTTTATTATATATATACATAATTATCGATTCACCCGGGTTTTTTTATACTGATTAATTTAAACGTTTATTCTATGTTTGTCTCTGTGTGTTGTCTACGTTTGATAATATTACTTTTTACTGTACCTTTTAAATGTCTGTACACTTCATCTTCAATTAAACACCGTTTTCCCCCAAAGAAACAACAAAGAGAAAGATCACATTAAAAACTGCTTACTGTACTCACAAAACTACTGCTTATGTGCCTCTTGAAGTCTTCCATAATCCGGACCCGGTTATTTCGTAATATTTTGTTCATTTAGAAATTTAGTCATGGTTGCGTGCTGTCAATTTATTTAAAATACTTTTAAATACAATACTCTTGTCTGACAACGAAAACATGTTGGTCACTTTGTCGGCAAAATATTGACATAGGTATTATTGAGTTGGGAGATCGACCTCATCCTCAGTTTGTTTCGATAATTTTCATACGAATTGAATTAATGAGTCAAGTTCGTCCATTTTTTTTTCAATACCATTTTTGAGTCTTTATTATGTACATCGTGAACATTTTTATTTATTTGGTTATAGAAAAGGTTTCAGCTCAACTGTTCTGTATTTTGAGAAATATTAAGGCCCCACCCCCAAGAAAACAAAAGAATGGAAGAACGAAAGAAAAAAAAAAGGAAACTGCCAAGTTTCCCTATCGGAAGGTGGGGATTATTTCATTTATGGACTCAAAATAATGTGTCATCTTGTAATTCTTTATCATTATCACTAAGTCAATGTCACTGCTGGGGATTGACTACTAGTCAGCCATTTGTATTATGGCTTGGTAATACTGATTCTTGAAAATTCAGTTGACAAAAAAGAGGGGTTTTTTTCGGTTTATTTTCAAGTAATCCTCCCAATGTTTTCCTTGGTTGGCATTGGCGTCATTTTGATGGTTTTATTTAGAAATTATTAATTTTAGCCTTTTGCTCAGACTTTTATTACATGCTTTATGTATGTAACAATAGTTTCAGACGTTTTGGTATTTTTGAATATTTGTGTGATTGGTATCTATCGAGCACCACAAAGTAGACCCATTTTTCGAAGTGCGAATATGATATAAGCTTGCTTTTGATTTAAAAAATGTAAGATATCGAATGTTTTATTCCCAGTAAAGAGCAATTGAAGAGCAAAACAATTTACAACAATGATTTACAAAATTGAAGAAACAAATAATTTGATACACATACATGACTTGTATATGTCATTAATTTATAAAGTGATGTGAATCCACTGCCAGACCAGAGCTATTCATTTTTTTCATAAGTATTTCGATAACTTATGAAACATTTTAGAGACATTAGGTATAATATATATCATCGCAGATACAAATAAAACCATATTTAATGATAATACTGTATCAAAAATGCTCGCAGTACGCATCTGAAATCACTCACGTTTTTTTTTAACGTACTGCTCGTCCTTTATTTCATTTGTTTTGCAGACTATCATCTTTTCGTCGTTTTTTTTTCTTTTTCTTTCCTGTCATGTTTATTTTTCTTCGACTTGTGGTTTTTAATTGTCATTTCATTTCATTTAAACATATTTTATGTGCTATTACATATAACAAAAAGGATCAGACACAAGTTACCACAACTTCGATAGTCCTCTCCTAAATATAATAAGTTATAATATATAAATACAAGTTGCTTTCTTTAAAAAAAGAAATGCAATCGTAAACCCAAATGCTTGTTTGGCATTAAATATTAGATAATTGTTTTTTTTAGATAAGAGTTAGTTTCTAGGCTTATGTTCAAATACAAATGTGAAGAAATTTAATCAATTAATGATTATATATATTTGTGCTTAAAAAAAGAAATGCAATACGTGAAATTTAATAGCTGTTTTTATTGGAATTTGAGATATGTTCATGGTTATTTGAACAATGGCTTGATATTGTTCATTATTAAGATCCTTACACCTGCTCTGCAAGGTTTTTGTGATGCTTAGGGTAGTAAGCATTGGCAATTTTAAGTTGTGTGCTTTGTGCTCTTAAAAGTTTTAGATGACAAACCTCTTTTTTTAAAGTCTTTAAAGTTCACAACAGAGTCCCAAACGAAAGTTTAAGAAGAAATAAGAAAAGCAAAATAGGTAACAATAAAGAAGGTAAAACTAATGGCTCTGGTGAGTGTTTAAACACTTGCAAGGAAGAACAAACTTCTAGTAATTTGTTTAAGTGCGATTATGATAAATTTCAGGAACATTTAAAAGTTATAGATAATGATTTGCATTTCAATATTGAAAATATATCCATAGCATTTGCACCTGACCATTTTTACTTTATCCCCAAAGGAAAAAAATGAAAAAAATACAAACAGTTAGACCAGCCATGTAAAACTATTGATTTGAAGCATTTTTTGAATGAAAAAGAAATAGGAGTACATACATACAACCCATACACCGTAGCTGTTATATAAGACATCAGAGAAAGTTTAGTTTACACAGTTATGAGAACAGTTGACCAGGAGCTTTTAATTAATTAGATAACGCGTTTGCATCGGTACATTATCACAATGGTCACACAAAGCTCTGCTACTTGTGGTCAACATATGGTCAAAATTATAAAAATATAACATAAATAAAACAAACTTCAAAATTTCCTAAAAACTATTTTACATGCATAAAACCTAAGTATCAATTATCCTGTCGTCTTTCAAAATCTCCTTGCACTATTTTACATTTTCGTATTTAATATATTAGAACCGAAAATTCATCATCTGATCGTTTTCAAGATAAATAATAATTATTTTTTTTTATTTTGACGATCATTTTGAAGAGCCTTAATTACTACAGGTTAGATAATCTGTTCCCTGGCCCAGATAACTATAAATAGAAATTATTTTTTCTTATCTCTGCCTGCATCTGTCATCACTCGGTGTCTATAAATAGACATTTGATATCTTATCGCTGACCCTGTTAAGTCTGCTGAAATTGCATGCATGATTAATTTTAAGGTTATCGATCGTAATTAAAGCGGCACATTTAATTCGTTATTTCATTGCTTGAAGTATTATTTCTTTCATCTGCATGGTCAAATGTATTTTTTTTTTTAAATATATTTTAGATTTAGATTTCAGTTTTAGTTTTTTTTTCATATTCAATATCTATGTATTCCCATTCTAATAACGAAAAAGGATCCAGATATACCTATAACAATCTGATTTGTTATTTTAATCAATATATAATAACCTCCTTGTTTTTTAAAAAGGAAATAATGTTGCAATATTTAAACAAAGAAAATAACTGTATTTCAATTTGCAATGTACTTTCATAATTAATTTAAACGTTATTTTTAATAAACGATATTTTTTTTCGAAAAATCCTCGTTTTTTACATCCATTCAAGGACGTATAATAGATTATATACGTCCTTGGTCTATTCTAGACGTAAAATTTTAATAAAGTGCAAGAAAGACTTCTTCAGTTTAATTTCAGTATAAAAAAAATGAATTAGCCTGCTTTGTACATCAAGTACATCTTCCCTAGACTCAAAATCTTAAATGAAATGCTAGTAATACTTCTTTTATAGATTTTAGTTTTAACGATTCGTTCCGAATATAAATCGCATTGTTTACATGAAATCTTATCTCATATCTAAACCAGCTTGTTTCAACGTTAGACTCTAATTAAAATAAGTACGCATATATGTAGGTAAATATTAGCAGCTTGTAATAATAATTGCGTGCAATGAAGTATTCAAATGCTTATTAAAGTAGCTTGCATCATAATAAATTTCGCATCAGATGTAACATATCTCTATATCAACTTTAAAATGCTAATGCTTATTCAACAGGACAATTAATAAGCTATTGCGCATGTATATGAAAGGTGGTCATAGAAAGAACAGATGTATTCCGAATAACATCCGGTGTTCCGAAAGACTACGGACATCGTCCAATATATACTGCGTAAACCCTCAGGGGTTTACGCAATAAAGATATGCAACGACAACTTTAAATAATTATAAATTTGTACAATAGTTATAGTTATAAAAAAGAAACTTCACAATTTCCCAAGTAAATAAACAACAGTCCTACGTCAAAAATGCTTATTCATCGACATACTAAACTATATAGATTAAAAAACAAAGGAGAATATCTTTCTAAAGGTCAAAACGTTCACTTTTCCAACTAAAATGCAAGATTTCTTTAATTAAGAATGTATTATGACTCAGACTCCCGTTTCCATTTAGTAAAGTAACGAGATATAAAACGGGACAAAACATCCCTTTGACTTATTTTACAAAAGGTTTTCTCACAGTACTTAATCTGTTTATATAAGAACCATGCTGTCCTATGATCTAATATCGGCGACTGTGCATAGGAGTATATTGCATACAACAACTCATTGAAGACAATGCTAAAAGTTCATAAGTACAAAATGTCAACAGAGAAAGAAAAAAAGAAAAGAAACACTTGTATTTTTGCTTAGAACTATAACTAAAGAATCGATACAAAACACCCTTTAAACGTCAGACACAATGTATCGGCAAACGGTTGAAGAAATCTGACAAAAGTATTCACACATTACAAATGACCACTGTCAGGCATCTGACCGAACTGTTCAGTAGTATCTGACAAAAGTGTGACGGAGATATTTGTTAGACGAACAGACGGACGGACTGACGGACAAGGTAGATGCAATATAGCTCAAACTCCTAGAGTGTGGATATAAGAGGTATGTTATGATATGAAGGACAATTCCTAAACTTGTTTTATAAATGATACGAGCAAAAAATTGCGTATGAAATACGATTTACAAGCTTACCCAGACTCCTCTCAGTAGATACGAAATAAATCCATAGTTTTAAGATAAAAATTTAGTAAACGTTTAGTTTTGGCAACTTGATATCTGAATCCATACTGTAACCCTTTTTATCATTTCTCAACCCTGAAAAAAATACGTTCAATGAAATCTTAAACATAACTGCAAGTATCAAAAATATTTTACTCATATTTGGGTTTCGTAAATTGTTTTGTTATAAATTAGCCCTATAGTTTTCTCAATTGAATTGTTTCATAATTTTCATGTCGGGGCTTTTCATAGCCGACTACGTATACGGTATGGGTTTTTTTCATGATTGAACGCCGTTTTGTTGCCTTTAATTGATGCATCCTGGCTTCACTGATTTGAACTTTGGTGGCTAGTTGTCTCATTAGAAATCGTACTCGGCATCTCCTTATTTTTATTAAGTTGAAACATGAGCATACTCTAAAGATTCTCTCAAGGAGCAATTAAAAGATTTCCATCAATGGAACTTGGGAAAGTTAACTTGACAATAGGAAAGGTAAAAGCATGGCGAGTTTCAAGTTTGTTATGAGTGGTATTTTAAAAATTTAATGTGTGTGTTTATCGATTTACTCTGGTGCTGGTACAGGAATTATAAAAAAAAATAAATGCTATTTATTGATTAAAACTATCTAAGCGATATAAAAAAAAATCGTCCATTTTTTTCGACTTTTGTAATTGTGTTAGATAAATGAACCTTTTTGTGTGGCTAAAGCAGTATTTATTGTGGGTTTCTGTCTCTCTGGTGCCTTCCACTCATCTCCATTTTGTTCTGTCACATGTGTCAAAGTTGTCAATTGCTTAGTAATAAAAAAAGAGATGGGGAAAATAATCATATTTTTTATAATAATATTTACGGTAAACATTCCGTAAACCGGGTTACCGGGTTTGGTTTAAATATTATGCATTGCTACTGGTACTTTTTGCACAATGTAAAAATCATATCGCTCTCTATGGAAGAATTTAGTGACAGTTAACAGTTGAAGAAAACAAAAACAAACGACGATGGTTTGCGAAAAATGTAAGTTAATAAAATTTCCATTAGCAATCGCGACAGTTATTGTGTAAGGACATTTTACTCGTTCATCAGAAATCTTAATAGCTTAGGTTTCTAAACATTCCTCACCCACACTGAACCAAGTAAACGGTGTAAGTATTACACGCATGCTGATAGAAATTATAGGGAAATCCTGACAACTGTCTTCTCATACATGTCGTATATCATCGTTACTTTCCATGCAATTTCGTGAAATATGAAAATTAAAGTACCACATTATAATTGTATGAATACACACACTTTTGTGAAATTAAACAATTGCACAGAGTGTGTGGCACAGACTTGTCAAAATTCACAACTGTACCTGAAAAAAAACCCTGACCTTTCCTAAAAATTTGTTCAAAAGATAAAAAACATACTGAAATAATGAAATTTGTATAATAAAATGTGTGAGAGTTATGTCATTACATCTATCATTTCCCTGCAGTTTGAAAGAAAAACTAATTTGACAAGAAGATTAGTTATGCTTTTTATATATACAATGTATATACATACATGTATACTGTACATGGATTTCTGAATATATATATTTTTTTAATTAAAGGTGAGAAGAAACTTGGAAAAGTAATAACACCAGACCCATGGAAAACAGGAGCCAGAAATATAACTGGTTAGTCCCATAGTCATTAAACACGCTCAATTGTAACATACTAATATTTCTAATAGTTACATGCATATTTAATCATACACAGTAAGGTTAATAAGTCAGTGCATTTGCCGACAACTTCAAAATATTGGACTTTGGGGGCAAATTTATTTTGATAACACATTATTATTATATTGTAAATTTCTGTCAAAATCGGGTTTTCAGTTTTGATTGAAAAGATTGGAGGAAGATGATAATGAATGGCCTATAAGCATGATATAAGACAAACTGAAAACAGATTAAAGAGAGGAAAATAAGTCTTACTCAGCAAATTACACATGTACATGTAATTCAATTGAGATTACAGAATTGACTGATGTTTCTCATTTGTATTCACTATTTTCAGAAGGTGGAGGAAGAAAGATTGGTGAAAACAAAGCTCTAACAGCTAAGAAAAATAGGTAAAATCATTTAAAGAAGTTGAATGAACAGCTGTTTGATTTTCATTTTCTTCTTAAATTATTATTTATCTGTTTAATACATTCTCATATTTTTTCCCTGGTATGTTCCATGGTAAAATAATTATGGTTTGTGCTGAAAGAAACACATCCAAAGAAATACAAATGCAAGTCATTATTATCACATTTTCCAAGTCATAATAAATCAAATCGTTTATTGCAGGCTGTCAATTATTTTTTATTTCACTGGGTGTTTAGCTACTTATACCAAACCCAATTAATGACTGAACATTTGTGTTTTATTTTGTTACCAATTTCCTTGCAAGAAGTCTGTTTTATTTTAGATAATCTCATAAGACTTTGAAAAAAATGAAGCTTTTAAAATCAAAAGTGGAACAATTTGACACAGATAGCTTTACCTTTGGTTTACCTTATTCTGTATTAGCATTTAGCAATTTTGAATTCAACTTCTGTTTTTATAGTTTTATTTTCAAAAGCTGTAGTAATAATCTCAACAGATCTAACCACTTGTTATAAAGTTACTTGCATAATTTGGATAACAGATAAGTGGTTTCAAGTCTAAATACTACAGATTATTCTGATTTGCAGGGTTCTTACTATGGCGAGTCCATGAGTCCTGGACTCAGGAAAATCTGTCTAAACTCATCATTTTCAAAACTGGTGAGTCTGAAGATGCATCAAAATTGTAAAATGTTGTATCAACTGAGCACAAATATCATCATTTTATTACAAAAAATAGTCTAAACTTGATGTCAATTCCTTGCTCTATTTTGTCATGGGGATTGAAATAATAAATGATATAGCAGTAAAATTTCATCTTCTCACTGTTGGACTCACAATGGCTATGGCTTTAAAATTCCTTTATAATGAGAACCCTGGATTTGTTTTAAGTTGATAAATTACTAAGTTTTGAGTATTATTTTTTCAGATTTGCTCCATATGAAGGATTTGCAAAGTGTAAAATATGTAGATCTTCAGTTCATCAGAAAGGATCTCATTATTGCCAAGGTGAGTCAAAATTTTACTGTTCATTCTTGGATAAGTAATGGAACCTTGTTTAGAGGAAGAGATGACTTAAAAAGACAATATCTAGATATAGATATCCTTTTATTTCAAGTGAATCATCTAGATTTGTATGACCTTACCTTAGATTTAAATGATTCCAGATAAACAATTTTGGTTTTACTGTAATACCCAACATTTTTTTGTGAATTGATACACAACTTAATAAAACTGTTATATAAAATAAGCTGGGTTAAATCAGCATTGACTCAGCAGCAAGGGTTACTTACAAGGGTTACTTAGCTAATGAAATTTCTATTCCCTGTTTCATATGATCAATCAATTAAACTTTTATGGAATATTTTGTGACGAGTGAACCAACACCTTCTAACGGAAAAGCTGGTAGAGTAACCAAGATGGATACCGAAGTATGCTGCGGTTGTCTTAAAACCTCATGGAAATATAATATGTAGAGACAACAACATCTGGGTTACCGCAAGGTGATAGTTTTATTGAGTCTACATGTTTCGCCACTTACGGTGGCGTCTTCAGGACAATTTAAACATAGAAAACAAATACTGAAGTACATAAAATGCGGTGCATATGGGGTTACAAAGGTTAACAAGACGTAACGTCACAATAATTGATTTGACAACTTTAAAATGAAAGTGAAAGTTAATTATTGTTGAAATAAACTTGCAACATGGATAGTGTACCACAACCGCAAAATGTAACCAATTCACCACAACTTCCACCATGCCCTACATGTGCGACTACCATACATCTTACAACATTCCCGACGCAATTGGAAGTAGTACCTCTTTCCGAGTGAAGCCTTTTGGAATGGTACGGAATGTCCTGTGAGGTGTTGTCCATTTTGGAAAAGACACTGACAATGCATTATTAACTTTTACTTTCACTTTCATTTTAAAGTTGTCAAATCAATTATTGTGACGTTACGTCTTGTTAACCTTTGTAACCCCATATGCACCGCATTTTATGTACTTCAGTATTTGTTTTCTATGTTTAAATTGTCCTGAAGACGCCACCGTAAGTGGCGAAACATGTAGACTCAATAAAACTATCACCTTGCGGTAACCCAGATGTTGTTGTCTCTACATATTATATTTTTATGGAATATGATTAAGTTAACCAAGAACTTGTATGATAGAATATATATACAAATTTTTTTAATGTATTTGCAGCATCTGCCTGGATTTTTGAGAAATTTTATTTTATTTATGTAATCAGTACATGTGCTGACTTATTTTTTTAAAATATTGTTTTACATTGTTTCTTTGAAACATATTAATATCATATGATCTTTTATTTTTAGGATGTGCCTACAAAAAAGGTAAGTTTTTGCACTATTTTGTAATAGAAACATAAATGAATGACTCACTAATTGTATCCAAGTAGTATTATTTTTTTTTCCATTGCCTAGTCTAGTATATTCCTTGGTTATGCCCTGACTATGGCACATTGTATAAGGGGACATTATGTTATGTTATGATATGATAGTGAAAGCAGAGGATTTCGTCGTATGGACAAGCATTCTTGTTTCTTAATAAAAAATTATCATGCATCATAAATTGAGTAAACTCAAACAACATGCCCACATAGTCATTTAAAATTCAATGCAAATGATAACATGATCATCATATAATGTTTAAAGAAAACAATTTGACTGCTAATAATGTCTATTCCTCTTTTAAACATGCATAAATAAAACCAATTGACGTTTGGAAAAGTATATGAATCCAGTTCATCATTAGCATTTTCACATACTGGTAATATGGAAAGGGAAAACAGCTTGACTCTGTTGCAATATATGATTTCAGTTTCTATGTTTTGTAGGTATTTGTGCAATGTGTGGGAAAAAGATAATAGAGACAAAGAACTACAGACAGACATCAGTATGATTGGTGATAATTACAATGTTTGGTGATAATTACAATGTGTGGTGACAATTACAATGTGTGGTGATGATTACAAATTGTATTTAGATCTATGACATTTTTATTTGAGCTTGAAAGCACAAAGAAACAACAAATATTTGTACCACATATGTGTAAATTATTGTTAAAAAATGATGTGGTTTGGATTAAAGTCATCTTGGTTTAACATCAGGGACCTTTTTCAATGACATTCTTTAAAGGCCATCAATAATTTGGACATTAAGATTACTCAAAGGATGAAAAAGAGACAAATTCAGTTCAATATTCTGAATTAAATGAAATTTTTACTATAAAAAGCTTCAATCACCTGTTATTTTTTAGAGAGTTTACCGGTAACTATAGAAAGTTTTATTTCATGGAAAGGGTTCAAAAATCCAGCTTCAAATGTATGTTTATATTTTTTTTATGTGAGATTTCATGGCACCATTGAAATAATTACAAATTGTATTTTAAATGATAATTTATACATGTTGTTTAACTTTGTGGAAAAGATGAAAAAGATATTTATTTTCATTATCATGTACTTATTTAAAGGAAAAGATATTGTTTACAATTCTTTGTATATGTTAATAAAATTTTATGTATGAACATGAAAGAGTGTATTTGCATAATTTACATTTAATAAGTTGTTTGTCATTGATGGTCAGTATGATTGTTTATCAAAGTAGATAGGCATGTATATTTATAACGATATACATTAAAATTTAAAACTTCCAATTGAAATATAAGTCTTTGTATTTTATTTCAAGATATTAGGGGTTCTGAATTTTATTACAAGGGAAGAAATTCTTTGACATTCATATTTTAAGGAGACTTCTCAGACTAATCACGCTAAAAAAAAAAAAAAAAAGAAACTGGGGGTACTGACAATGTTCTTCCTTTCTTGATGTTTAAAAAAATAGTGTAAAAACTTGTAGATTTGTATTAACATTCAGTTTAATTATTTTTATGGAAACTGGAAAAGCCATTTTCCCTGTGCAGAAATATAACAGATTTTGTTTATTTATCATTTATAATTTAAACTTTTGTGTATTGCTATATCATGTCTTCGAGATTTGATAGGAAAATGTAAGCTTTTGTATTTTCAAGAATTTGTTAATTCTTATTCTTTTTTTATTATTTGTAAATAAAAAAAAAATATGTGATAGTGACTAATTAATAAATTAAAATATCCACAGTAGTTGCTACTTGCTCAGTTAAATAATAGTATCAACTATCAACCTTCATTATAAAATTCAAAATGTGTTAAAAAGGGTTTGAAATTTACAGTTGTATACATAATTCATAAAAAAATAAAAGGAAGGTATCAAGATTTGTGTGTACATTTTATTTTTGAACATATTAAGATATCATTTGGAATTTCTTTTTTAAAATATTAAATATTATGCTGTTATTAAATACATATATGTTGACTATGAATTTTATAATAAAATATTTAGCTAATCATAAGTGTTTCAGTATTATTTCCCTGGAAGAAAATTCTATAACAAATACATGACTTTGTAAATACATTCGGTCCTGGTTAATGTATAAACTTTGGGGAAAACTTTAATAGTAGAAACACAACTGTAACGCATGAGTTGTCAATAAAACACTGTAATACACAGCATTGCTTAAGCTGTTCTGGATTGAACTTCCCAAAAACTTTGCACAGTGCTAAGTAATCTAAAACAATGGATCAAGGGTTATAGATTGGCAGAAAAAAAAACTTTTTACATCAAAGCTTTATTGAACCTGCTACAGTGTTTGGTCATGGTACAAAAATGAAAAGTGTTTATTTACAAAATTAGAGGTCTAAACGGTTAGTGTCACATGATGGTATCCAGAACAACTGTATGCATGAGAAAACTTATGATAAGGATTGCTTTAAGTTTTAAAACTTGGTATTAACAAAATTCATTGAAAGAAGATGAATCCGATTTCAGAGTATCAGAAGCTGCAGATATGAAATAGCTTGAGTTTTGCTATCTTCTTCAGACTTGATGCTGAGAGGTTAATTTTGGTTTATTTCAAAGTTGGTGGTCAAAGATCAAGTTCACAGAATTGCATAATAAACTTGCAGATATAAGACTTCAGACTACACTTAGGATTTATTTATTCTATTGATTAAAGTCACAATCACTGGTAGATATGATAGAATAGGCTTGTAAGCATGCTCTTGAGTTTTTGTTTAAATGACCGCAAAAAATTTTTGCGGTCCTATATTGGTATGACGTTGGCGTTGTCATCGTCCGAAGACACATTGGTTTTCGCACAATAACTTTAGTTTAAGTGAATGGATCTCCATGAAATTTTACCATAAGGTTCAATACCACAAAAGGAAGGTTGGGATTGATTTTGGGGGTTATGGTACCAACAGTTAAGGAATTAGGGGCCAAAAATAAGCATTTTTGTAACTTCCAGACAATAACTTGTGTTTAAGTGTATGGATCTCTCTGAAATTATACCACAAGTTTCCATACCACAAAGGGATGGATAGGATTGGCTTTTGGGGGTTATGGCTCAAACCATTTAGGAATTAGGGGCAAAAAAGGGGAAAAAACAAGGGTTTCCTGGTTAATGGACAATTTAAAAGCAGTGTAAGGGAGGTAATAAAAAAACTGAAAACTATCTGTTGCTGAAAAATGGTTTTTGTCGAGCCTGCGACTTTTGTCGCAGAAAGCTCGACATAGGGATAGTGATCCTGCGGCGGCAGCGGCGGCGTTTGCTAACTTCTTGAAAGCTTTATATTTTAGAAGGTGGAAGACCTGGATGCTTCATACTTTATATATAGATGCCTCATGTTACGAAGTTTCCGTCAGTCACATGTCCAATGTCCTTGACCTCATTTTCATGGTTCAGTGACTACTTGAAAAAAAAGTTCAGATTTTTTGGAATGTTAAATTCTCTCTTATTATAAGTAATAGGATAACTATATTTGGTATGTGCGTACCTTGCAAGGTCCTCATGCCCGTCAGACAGTTTTCACTTGACCTCGACCTCATTTCATGGATCAGTGAACAAGGTTAAGTTTTCGTGCTCAAGTCCATATCTGAGATACTATAAGCAATAGGTCTACTATATTTGGTGTATGTAATGATAGTAAGGTGTACATGTCCAACTGGCAGGTGCCATATGACCTTGACCTCATTTTCATGGTTCAGTTGTCATAGTTTAGTTTTTGTGTTTTGGTCTGTTTTTCTGATACTGTATGCAATAGGTCACCTGTATTTGGTGTATGGAAATATTTTACGATGTTCATGTCAGTCTGGCAAGTTTTATTTGACCTTGACCTCATTTTCACAGTTCATTGCTCAATGTTAAGTTTTTGTGTTTTGGTCTGTTTTTCTAATACTGTATGCAGTAGGTCAACTTTATTTGGTGTATGGAAATATTTTACGATGTACATGTCAGTCTGGCATATTTTATTTGACCTTGACCTCATTTTCAAGGTTCATTGCTAAATGTTAAGTTTTTGTGTTTTGGTCTGTTTTCCTTATACTGTATGCAGTAGGTCAACTATATTTGGTGTATGGAAATATTTAATGATGTACATGTCAGTCTGGCAGATTTTATTTGACCTTGACCTCATTTTCATGGTTCATTGCTTATGTTAAGTTTTTGTGTTTTGGACTGTTTTTCTTACACTTTAATGCAATAGGTCAACTATATTTGGTGTATGGAATGATTGTAAGGTGTATATGTCTGTCTGGTAGTTATCATCTGACCTTCACCTCATTTTCATGGTTGATTGGTCAATATTCAGTTTTCCTGGTTAAATTTTTTTCTTAGATACCTTAAGCAATAGGTCAACTATATTTGGAATGATTTTAATGTGTACATGTCTGTCTGGCAGGGTTCAAATGACCTTGACTTCATTGGTCAATATAGAATTTCCATGATTTGGTCTGTTTCTTTTATACTATAAGCAATAGTCATCTATAGTCTGTGTATGGAGGGATTGTATTAAAGGTGTACATGTATTTACGGCTTGGTTTATCTGACCTTGACCTTATTTTCTTGGATCATAAATGTTAATGTGATACTTGTAGTAAAAATTTATATGTAAGACTATCAACATAAAATCAATGGTCAGTATAGTAGGCGAGACATTTCAGCGTGTGCACTCTTGTTGTAAACTTTGACTATGCAAAACAGATGTGGGGAGGTTGGAGTGGTTAAATATCAATGAGACAGCAAAAAGAGGTCACAATTTAACCAGCATTAAATCATTTCTGTACTATTAATATTATTTTGTTTGTTACTTTTGTAAAAGTGACAAAATAATTGACTTCAGATGCAAAGAAAAAGGGACAATAAACTACTTTTTTTACAACAGCAAATGTGTAAAGGAATTTTCCATTTTGACAGCCCAGAGGAGAAACGACGCCGGACGGCATGCATATTTGTCTTATATTAATGATGGGTCGCAGTCATAATGTGTCATTTGTTACAAGCACGTCATGGTGTGAACATCACCTCGACACTTCAAATTTGTTGAATGAGACTATAAACTCAAGCAGTAATATACAGTTGTAACTATTATACAATATTCCTACATGTATATATATAATAAACAAATTTGGTAGTTGTCAATATTTGCTGGGAATATGCATATTTATCCCTTTATTAACTCTGCTAATTCCTGTGGACTTATTTCATACGGCATGTACATTAATTGAATACTCGTGTATTGAATTCATTTAATTAATTTTTTTATTCTCTACAAAATTTTATTTAATACGAAATTAGAAATACTGGAATTTCTTCATTTATCAGTACAAAAAATACGAGAAAACACAATAGTCATCACAAGCCGATCGACCGATACACAAAAAAAATTAAAAAATTAAAAAGCTATTTTACATGGTTTTTATGGAGAAAAATTTTCATTTTGTCTTTCATATTATTAAAATACACAAACCTGTTCATTGATAATTTTCTATGTTTTCTATGTATTGTCTGCGATTTTGTCCCATGTACATTTACTCCATATCCTTTCATTTTCTACAAAATAATGTTTTTTTGTGCCTAATGTTTATGTGTTTATTCACAGATTCGACAAATATATTTAACCATTTTATTTGAAAATTAGCTCTATTGACAGCCTAAATGTTGATTGATGATATCTTCTGTAATTTTCGTCAGTAATTCAATACATTTGAATTTAAAATATCAATTTCTCTAATCCTATCTGTTTTATTTTAAGACTTCAACCATGATTTTGAAAGAAGCTTTCTCAATGTTACAATTACTACACTTAGAAAATAGCCCTCTTCTGACATATTCACCAAAAGATTACCAATAATAAAAGTGTGATTGTTAAGAATGTTATTGTAATAAGTATGATCATGCATTGTCAATAAGATTGACACATTGATTTTATTATTTTTCTTATCAAATCTTAGTATTCTAAATTACCAGACTAAAATTCTTCCATCTGGATACTAAAACATTTGACTTCTTTGAGGATACTACGGTAAGTACAGGTGCTCGATTGTTATCTCCCTTGAAAATCCTCAATTTCAGAGGTGATTTCATTGGCAACAGATTTGTTGAAAAATGGAGTCGTAAAATTTTTAATGATTTTGAACAGTTCAAGTAACTAACTAGTCATTAATTGCATTAACACTGTCAACATGTCTGCAAAGCATTTGATGCCAGAAGTCAACGCTGCAGTAGAGAGACTTCTGGAGCTAGGTAAAGTCCGTCTCTGAACGTGCCGAACAGTGCAAAATAGATCAGAGAATTTCAAATATATAAAATATTATTGAAATTACTGTGAAAGTGATAAAATACATATTACACGTAATGTGGAAAATTTCATTCCTTTTGTTTCCTTCTTAATAGCATACACAGTGTCACAGTGAACACTCCCCTTTTTTGCTCCATTTGTGATTTTTAGAATTCATAGTTAAAAAATACTATAGTGAAAACAAACAAAAATATCACAAGAAACCTCATATTATTTTTGTTTAATTTATTTTTTGGAAATCAGGTATAACCTATGGATACCCAGGAACATATATATTGATGGGACTTGACACTACCTAATTATAGCCGATTTTATCGTCGGGTCATAGTTAATAAATGACACGATATGGATATGGAAATGGACGTGTAAAATATGTATTCGCTATTATCTTAATAATTTCTGATAATATCAATAAAATGTCATTCAAACTAAGTAATAAGTGATGCCAGTGTATAGAACTTGTAATCTGTCACTTTAAATTTGTTATAGTCGCATTCATTTCATCACAGAAGGTACAGAATGCAAACAGGGTAATAAAAAAATGGAGCCGATGGCATTCCCAATAACCGCAAATTTCATAAACCATTATAAAACACTTCACATCAAATCACACTTATGTTGGCCATTTTATTTGACAAAATATATCTTACTTTACGATAAAACTTATCAATTCATTGTTTTTGTTGCACATTTGGAATTATGTGGTTAATTTATTGACCAATTCAATCAGAAGCTTCCAAAATCCAAAAATCTCACAAAGTCTCATAAAGTTCAAGATTTTATCAATTTTATACTGAAAAGCCTATCAAATTCCTTTCCGCTAGATATACTGTTCCCAGGGATACCTATCAACGATCTTCAGAACACTGGCACTGTTGTGCCATTATATTCTGCTCTGGGATACTTCATAGTCATTGTGTTTAATTGTTTGTTTCTCACTTCTGGATAAAGTTTCATATTCTACCTCAAAATCTTAAATTAACAGTTGGTTGGCCCAAATCAGAAAATTGTATTCATTAAAATACAGAGTTCTCGAAATCTTTTATCCCCTGGTGGTCCTTGAAGAAAATATGCTGGTCCTCAATATTATTTCTATTGCAAAATACCAAAATAGTGTCAGTCCTTCACAAAATTTTGGTGGTCAAAACTGTCAGACCACCACTTTTCGAGAACTCTATTAAAAAATACATAAATAAATAAAACATTTAAAATAGATAGCTTGATAAGAAACAAATAAAAATACAAGACTTATTTTTCAGATGGAATGTTTAAAAAATAAAATTTTAAGAATATAACAGTTTTTGTTAGATTTCTTTGCTTCTTAGATTTCTTTGCCTGTTATATATTCTGTAATTTGTTGAATCTGCATTAATGGTCTCCAATGCACAGATGTAGCATCATGGACATTTAACACTATAGGTTTATGGTAATAAATCATAGCATGAAACTTGCACCAGGGAAGACACTGCTTTCGGTTGTTACAAAGTTTTAATTTAATTATCAAAACTACAGAAGCTTTATATTGAACCTTACATGTACATTTAAATAAACAAGTGATTGAATTTTTTTTTTATTATTAAACTTGGCCTGCTTTAGACATTAACCATATGAATCTTCCAGATACCAAGACAAATTTCTCCACAGGTCTTTAAACCTCTTGCTGCTGTGGTGCCGTGGTACATACTGTCTATCTGTTTTTATTATGGTCCTCTTTAATGTGGAGAAAATTTGTACCCATTGAACGCCTTTGCAAGCATACTCTTGTTCTCTCAAGTTATATGATTTTTCTTGCAGCTGATCGCATGAAGTATGAAGAATTTGGATTCCTTGATAAAGATGTTGTCAATATAGACAAAGTTATTGATTCTATGCATGAACTGGTATGTACATGTAAATATTATGTACCGGTAGGTGAAATAATAGTTGTGAATAGCAACATTAACATGATATATAGAATATCGATTTATCAACTATTAGAATTCAAAACATTCATGAGTTAGCACAATTTTATAATTTTTTTGTCATTTTAGCAAATAATTCAGAATTGTTTGTTCAAACCAATGTTTGAAATACTGGTCAGTCCACAGAAGTAAGGAAAACATATTATTGATATGGAAATTGATGGTTTTTTTTTTGCTGTAGGTTAAGTATAGGATATTTGAAAATTTCATTTATTATTTCTTATTATTATATTTTCAGGAAAAGGAAAGAAGAGGTGCTCATGATTTATTAGAAACAGAAACAATACATGCCAGTATTCTCAGACATAAATTACAGTTCTTACCACCACAAATTAAATCTGAAATAAAAGGTAAAATAGACATTGAAGATGAATTACATGTCCAAATATACTGTAGAATACCAAGAATATTAATTAAGTTCTATTTTTTTCCTTTTTAAATGTAACCAATCATTTGTAAAAGTTACAATTTAAATGCAGAAACATTCTAAATAAGAAGAAACCATATTCTACAAATAAGAACAAAATTGTGTACAATGTCATGACTATTTTAGAAGATTATGTCTTAAATTGAATTATCAAAGATGTGATAGCACTTAAAAGTTAGGTTTCTTTTATGATTGTAGAAGCTGTATATTCAGCCAGACAAGACAATGCTGAAGCTTTAGACAATTTGAAGAAGAAGTTAGAATCTATTAATAACAATATAAAATATTTAGAGGAGAGACAACATGACCTGGAGGGTGATTATAGTACTTTACTGTAAGTTTGACTAATTACACCATAAACCATTCAATAATTCATGTGTTAACCGACTTTTACTGCAACTGGTCGGATGCATTTAATTTCATTTAGAGCTATTCAAAAGTTAAGTATTGAGATCAACAAGACAAGGGGAAAATTGATGGCTGTAAAATGCTTGTTGAAATCATAATTGGTCTTTGTAAAGATCTTATTGTTTATATGATAGCATCAATTATATATAAGTTTATTTCAGCTCTGCCTGAGCACTAATCCATTAGAAAAGTTTTGCCTAGACAATTTTGTTTAAAACCTAATATTTTTAAGACAGGTATAGTAACATTTAAAATAGATATGAGTACTATCCAAAAATTTTGTCGTAAAGATACCTGTCAGTGGCCTCTGTTGTAAATAGTTTGTACATGATATACTTTTGGATTATAAAGACTTGAAACAAATTTAAACGTGATTGATTTATTAGTAAATTGTGTTTTCAATCTTTTAAAAATAATAATAACTATCTTTCGGTTGGACAGCTATCTAAGAATACATATTCTTTTACTGTGATTTGACTGTAAGTGTTGCTCTCCACCTATTGCAGATTAGTTGCAGTTTCGACCTGATTGTAATTTGTTTTATTAAAGCAAGCTGTTCATTATTTAATATTTTTTTATATTCGTCATTTGAACTCTGGTGGAGAGTTGTCTCATTGGCAATCATATCATATCTCTTTATTTTTATACTGAAATCCCTTTTAAAGAAAATGTTGTTTTCAATGTTTTCTTTCAGGCCAGAAAGAATTTCAGCATCAAAGGAACATGAAGATATTATTCAAGAACTTAATGAGAAAATGGCAGAGAAAGCTGGGTAAGTTTTGATAACAGGGTTGTTACCCACTTTATTATGAATTTGATGGATTAAAATTGTTTTGTATAAATTGTGTGTTTCAGTTGTGTAATTTGAGTGGGTACAAGTTGTGTTATTGTAATGGGTACAAATTGTTGTGTTATTTTTTTATTAGTACCAGTTATGTAGTTTTGATGGTTACAAGTTTGTGTGTTATTGTTGTGGACACCAGTTGTGTTAGTTGAATGTGTACTAGGCACCATTTGTGTACTTTGAATGGGTACAAATTGGTGTGTTATTGTTGTGGGTACCATTTATGGAGTTATATGGTTACAAGTTTGTGTGTTATTGTTGTGGAAACCAGTTGTGTTATTTGAATGGATATGTGTTATTTTTGTTTTGGGCACCAGTTGTGTAATTTGAATGGATACAAGTTGGTGTTATTTTTGTGGATATAAGTTGTGTTATTTGAATAGATGCTTGTTGTTATTGCTGTGGGAACCAGTTGTGTTATTTGAATGGATACATGTTGTTATTGTTGTGGGCACCAGTTGTGTAATTTAAATGGATACAACTTGTGTTATTGTTGTGGGCACTAACTATATATAGTTGTGCAATTTGAATGGGTAAAGGTTTTTGGATTTTTGTTGTGGTTACAAGTTGTGTAAATTTAGTTCTACTTATAAGGACTGTCTAAGCCTCAAACCTGTCAGTTGCATTTTATTAAACATTGTTTCTAACAACTCTCCCCCTTTACTTACCAATAAAAAAGTAATTATTTAGGAGAAAGCTTTTACTTACCAATGAAAAAGTTGAAAGCTGAATTTTATTAGTGTAATATAACATAATGATCTTATTTTAGCCTTCAGATTGTTCTTAATGAAACAAGAGACCAAGTGAGACAGACAAATCAGAATGTAAGTTTCATACTTTCATTATTTTTTTAAAAACTTTTTGAGTTTAGTTGTCCAGAGCTTTCAGTCTATTTTGTGGCTCTCAATAGAGTAACTCACAGAGGAAGATCTTGTGGTGAACTTTAGTCTATTTTTTATACGACCGCAAAAAAATTTTTGTGGTCGTATATTGGTATGACGTTGGCGTCGTCGTCGTGGTCGTCCGGCGTCGTCGTCCGAATACACATTAGTTTTCGCACTCTAACTTTAGTTTAAGTGAATGGATCTCAATGAAATTTTACCATAAGGTTCAATACCACAAAAGGAAGGTGGGGATTGATTTTGGGGGTTATGGTACTAACAGTTAAGGAATTAGGGGCCAAAAAGGGGCCAAAAATAAGCATTTTTGTAACTTCCAGACATAACTTGTGTGTAAGTATATGGATCTCTCTGACATTGTACCACAAGGTTCCATATCACAAAGGGAATGCTGGGATTGATTTTGGGGGTAATTGCCTCCAAATTTTAGGAATTAGGGGCCAAAAAGGGGCAAAAAACAAGCATTTTTCTAGTTTCATGACAATAACTTGTGTGTAAGTGTATGGATCTCTCTGACATTGTATCACAAGGTTCCATATCACAAAGGGAATACTGGGATTGATTTTTGGGGGTAATTTCCTACAAATTTTGGGAATTAGGGGCCAAAAAGGGACAAAAAACAAGCATTTTTCTAGTTTCATGACAATAACTTGTGTGTAAGTGTATGGATCTTTATGAAATTGTACTGCAAGGTTCCATATCACAAAGGGAAAGCTGGGTTGGAGTTTGGGGGTAATTGCCCTAAACGTTTAGGAATTAGGGGCCAAAAAGGGAAAAAAAACAAGCATTTTTCTAGTTTCCAGACAATAACTTGTGTTCAAGTGAATGGATCTCTCTAAAATTGTACTGCAAGGTACCATACCACAAAGGGAAAGCTGGGATTGAGTGTGGGGGCGATGAATCATAAGGGGGTTCAAAAAATTGGGGGGGGGGGGGGTTTTTTCCTTTTTTTTCTTTAAAATTTTCCATTTTAAATTGGTTATTTCTGATTTATATATAAAAGCAAATAATAATGATATGGTTTGAATAGCATACATGTGAACCTCACGACAGGAGTACAATAATCCTGTTTTCAGGAGTCTCCTCCCGACCTCCGGTTGAAGAGGAAAATTATAATCCCGTGTATGAAATTTTTCATGAATGAAAAATTTCTGCCCAACATATCATCTCAGGCATCTGGTGTAACTCACATTACCTGAAGTTATATTTTACCTGTAAATCAATTAACATGCATAATTATATGGCTTCACTTGTCAGCTTGGGTGTCAAACATACTGGTAATCAATGATTTTTTACCTCAGGCTAACTGCCGTTTTGTAACAAAAACTGTGTATTTATTGGGTTACTTCCCTTGATTTATCCTGTTTTAAGTTACTTTCCTTTTAATAATGAAAATTTTTAAAAGAATATAAATAAAATATAAATTGAACAAATAATCATAAAAGGATGGTAAATAAATGATTTTAAATGTCTTAGGACTAATAAAAAAATAATAATTTGAAAATTATTTGAGGATTCTATACTTCCTTTCAAGGCTTAAATTGAAATTTATATAATAACTATGACCCTTGTTTTACAGTTAGAATGATTTTCTGAGTATGCAAACAAAAGCTATTTGCAGATAGTTACACATATGTTCTGGTTGCAATAAATGTTTTATAGAATATGAAGTAAAAAATTTAAAGAACATACTGAAAAAAAAAAATGTTAGATTGAACATGTAAAATATAAAGATGGAGAAACTTTATAAGTACAAGGGTACTATAAACATAATAAATTGGATGGAAAGTTGAAGAAAACACACTTTAAAAGACCATTTTTACAGCACACGGTTACATTTACGACAAAATTTATGTCGATTAAAAACCTCCTGATCTGAGTCCTAATCTCCTGACCAAAATTTCCCAATCTCCTGATCTGAGTTTCACAGTCCATCACATGTATGAATAGGTAAATTAAAAAATAATAAGTTCTTAGACCACTTTCATTCTGTGTCAGAAACCTATGCTGTGTCAAATATTTTTAATTACAATCCAAATTCAGTGCTGTATCAAGCTTGAATGTTGTGTCCATACTTGCCCCAACTGTTCAGGGTTTGACCTCTGCGGTCGTATCAAGCTGCGCCCCAGCGGAGCATTTTATTGTATTTTAAGATGTTATCTAAGGTACATTGAAAATCTTATATGATTGATTGATTGATGGTGTTGATTGCCACATTCAGCACACTTGGCAGTATCGTGGCAACCAGTTTTTATTAGTGGAGGAAGCTAGATTAACATGGAGAGAACCACTTACCTCGGTACATTGTAGATAAGAATTGATTGGATCAAACAAAATTTAAAGTATAATGAGCATGTAGGTAGAATCAATTTGAAATTAAATAAATAAATGGTATAAAGCTATCTATATGATGAAAACATGAAGGTTTATGTGAGCATTTTATACACATTCATGCATGCTTGTAGACAAGCCAACTTTCAGGATTTTCGAAAATTTTACACCCACGAAAAAAACCTGCTATACAGTATGTCTGTTTGATTGCAGTATATGTTTGTTTTCAGATTGTAGATTTAGAAGATGGAATTTTACAATTGAAAGAAGATTTAATTCATGAAAGAACAGAAGCTAGACATGAGAAAAAGAAGCTCAAACAACTTGTTGTAAGTGTCCTAGTCAAACAGTTACTTATGTTTGTTATTCATAACTACATCAAAATAAGGAGATGTGGTATGAGTATAGATAAATCAATTTACCACCAGAGACCAAAGGACGAGGATGTAAACAACTATAGTGCATTGAATGGTCTTCAACTATGAGCAAAACCTATACCTTATAGTAAGCTTCAAAAGGCCAGTGATTGACAAAATATGAAACATTTCAAGAGAGAAAACCAACAGTCTGATTTATGCTGAAAACAGCAAACAAAATAAAAATAAGACAGACAGCAACCAATGACAACCACTGAATAATTGGCTCCTGACTTGGGACAGGCACATGATGAATGTGGCAGGTTATAATGTTTGTGAGTGCTCAACCCTCCCCTAACCTGGGACAGTAGTGTTACAGCACAACATAATAAAAATCAATCGGCAAAGATTTGACTCATCAGATGGGCATTAAGGGCACAAAAAAAGAAAAAAACACAAGGTACTGATCTTAGGGTACTCAAAAGTTTAGCTTGTAAGTTTAAAAGGCAATTTTTTGGCAGTTTACAGTGTTTTCATTTCATATTTGAATTGTCAGTCCTAGCACACTATCTTTTTTTTGTTATTTCAGTCAGACACAAATTCAAAAACAAAAATGCAGAAAGAAGAGAATGTTGTTATGAAAAAGTAAGTTGTTGTTTAGAACTTGGTAACTTAACATATGACCTAAAAATCTAGCACAATTGATTAATAATATATGTTCCACGTATTAGATAAATTTTTAATAGTGTGCAGATGCACACAATTGACATCAAAATTCTTACTATAAGAAAGAAATATAATCCCCCGAAAAAAGTATGGAATATTTGAATTGGCAGAAGAAAGCTTCCTTCCAATTTTGATAACTTTTTTGTTTGTTGGTCCAGAGCTTCACTCTCTGATTTAAGGCAATTTTTACAAATTGAACAACTCTAGCTTGGAAGGATTTACTCCAAACTTTATGTTGTTCTTGGGTTTGATAAAAGTAAGCTCCCTTTAGATTTTGAAAATTGAGTATGTGCAGATTGGTTTACTGGAAACTTCATACAATTGTTTGGGTTAGTAAAATTTTAAATTTAGAAAATTGTCATTCCAGAGTTGTGTGACTTAAACCGTCAGATTTAAGGCAATTTTTCTAATGTCAAGGAATATGGTTAGGTCAAGTTACTACAACCTGTATACAGTTTTGTAGATCAGTGAAAGTAACCTCCCTTTTACATTTGAAAGTTTTTGGAATTTTGGGACCTTTACCTTCAAATTTAAGGCAATTTTTATACACACAAGGTAATCTTTCTGCAGTTTTTTTTATTGCAGGGGCATTTTTCTAAATTTTGATTTAATGGCTTCTACAATATTCCTTTTTATTCTTATAATAATTTTAAAAGGCAAAAAGGGCATATTATGAGCTCCAGGGGCAGCTGTTTGTTCAGAAATCTAATATAACTGTGCCTAAAGCGCAAATCTTTTACAAACAAGAATATTTGAATGATGACATTTTGTCTGAATTCCCACATATTCTCAAGGATTTTATGTACACAAAAATGAAGAAAAAAAACATCTGGGATTTGCAAAAACTGCTTGAATGTTGTATTTTGTCTGAATTTTTCACATATTCTACAAAAGGCTTTATGTACATTTTTTGATTTGAATGAATATTGCAATAGATCCACAGTGTATTTGCATCTAAATATTTACAGCCAAAGAATGTACGGTCTGTGTGAACATCTATATTGATACATATTCATTGCAGATATGCACAAATTAAAATTTATTGTTGAATTTGTTTTATAACAATTGCATAATTCATTTTATTTTAGGGAATTAGATCTTATTCATGAGAAACTGGTAGACAATGAAGGCCAATTAGATGCTGTGAGAAAGGTAAGGTGTTTACTATATAGCTCCTTCAATTCCATAAAAACAATAAAAAGGAAAAAATAGAAAGGAAAAGTTATTTAATGTAAAAGAACATAATTCATCTTTGCTTTGACAAGTCTGTAAAGATATTTGATTCAGTGATATGTTTGGAAAGTGCAAGCTCCATATAGATTTTTTTGATTTTTATTTCTACTTACTTGAAGATTAAAAGGGAGATAACACATTAATTTAATCTCTGATAATTAATTCTTCTTTTTCTACTCATCATAACATTGAGGTTAGGAAAACAATCGTTTCTGTGGATGTTTCAAGCAATTTAAGTTTATTACATTGTTATTATTTTTGACACAGAGTTTACAAACATATGAAGATTCAAAGGCAAAATTAGAAGCAGAGGAAAGACAATTAAGTGAACAGCTAGCAAATAAACTGAGACAAAATGAAGCATTGAGAAAAAAGGGGTAAAGTATTAGATTATGATAGACTATGTCAGAACTTTTACTGTAAATGATATAAAATACTTATAAATTTACATTTATTCAGTAAACAAATGAACAAATACTGCAATTTGGGCATGGTGTCCTACTGACACTTATTCTTCTTTTTAATTTTGTATAATTATATTGATGTTGTATTTTCAGTGTTGCAATAATTAACGAAGATATGAAGTTACAAAAACAATATGAAGACACAGAAAAACTTCTACTGAAAAAGTTCAAAAAGGTATTAAAATGAATTATTGTATTTAAATTACACCTATATAATATTTTCCCCTGTTATTTAGTCATGTTCTATGTGTTTCAAAAGTCACATGCCCTTGCTCTTAAAATCTGTAGATAAATCCCTAAATCACCTTTTATTTTGGCTTCAGTTTTTATGTGGACAATATTTGAAAACTAAAAGTAAGAGGTTTAAGCTTGCTCTAAAAAAATCATGTAAAAATAAAAAACATGTTTTAAATATATCTGCCTTTTTTTAGTAGAAAATATCAGAAAACAACATAAAAAGATGGGGTCTCATGAACGTTCAAGTTTGCAAGTTTTGAAAGCATTAGGAGTATGGTTTAATCCAGAACCCATTTTTTCATATCTATTACTCTTTCCAAAATGTCACTTCCAATTAATCTGAATCTTAAAATAAAATTTGCAGAATAATCTTTAGTCCCCAAATTGTTAAAAATGAAAACAGCCAAGTTTATAATTTGGTTACAAGTTTATATACAAGACTTTTTTTATTTGTTTGATAATTTGTTCAATTTGGTACACATTGTGCAGTATTGAGTCATGGTATTTATATAAAACCAATAAATAAAATATTGTTTAAACAGCATAATGCAAGAGTTATGAAACTTGAAAAAATAATTGAACATATCCCAAAAAAATGTTTTCTACTTATGAAAATTATGTCCCCTTGTCAAATCTTGTTGAAAGGTTTAAATATGGTAATGATTGCATACTCTTTAATGTATTTGAATAATGTATTGTCTTTTTAGCTTGAAGCAGAAACACAAAGAGAGGATGATAGAAATTATGAACTTGAAGGACAAAAGCTTGAATTGCATAGTGGCAAGTTTTATATATTTCTTTTATTATTATCAGGGGTTGATATATGAATAAAGCTTTCACATTGATCAATTTGTATTCTATACAAAATAACTTGTAGACCTATACACACATTATCAAACCTAGTTAATCTCTGCTAGGCTAATATGAACCAAGCCTAATTTGCGTTAAAATGAAGATAATATTTTGAAAATATCTCATCGCATAAATTTGAAGTTTAATGATGATCTTAATCAGGGACAGGAAAACTGAGAAACATAAAACCTCACTAACAGGTTTGCTCGTAGAAGTCACAAAATTTAATCACTGCAAATTTTCGCAAATACTATAAACATTTCAAAAATTTCTAAATTTACTGTCAGTGAAAATTTCATTAGTGATTTGAATTTTTTCTCTGTTTTTAGACCTGGAAGAAAAAATGATACAAAGACAGGAAGATTATGAGGAAGTCAAAGCTTTAGATGGAGAGTAAGTATTTTAGTTGTTTTATGGTCACTTGAAATTCACCAGTACCACCCAGATTACAGTTCTATGTTGACATCTAAGTTGGACTTAGTTGGTATTTAGTTTAGAAAATACCTATTTAGCCTTGAAAATTGAAAGGTCAGTTTATCACATTTACACAATAGAAGTTTACCTATGAGGGTCTGGATGGGGTTTACAAATTTATCAACTATTGTTCAATGGGGTAAACTGACCTTTCAATTTTCTGATACTGGATAATTTCAAGTGACTATAATTCATTTTAGTTTTAATGATGTAAAAAACAAACTGCACCAGATCCTTTTGAATAACATGAAAATGAGACAATATTCCAAATTTTCAGAGAAATGGAGCAGTTTCCGTAAGTCAACCCAAGCTCTCTTAAGGTTCTACAATGAAAAACTGAAAATCACACTATAATGAGAGCATAAGATTATTTCTTCAATGTGAGTGCAATAGAATCTATAAACAAATATTAAAATCTATCTGATTCCAAGATGGCAAAGTGGTAAAAAGAAACAATTTCAACAAAGACAAACAAATCTTTGATTGGAATGGGACACCTGTATGTTGTTGGCTTATCTAGTATATGAGCTCTACAATCTGTCTGTCTTTTTATCGAGTCTGACAATGGATTGACATACACACAACGTCTGTCCTTTTCCAGAGTCTGACAGTAGATTTAAACACACACCACATCCTTCCTTTTCCAGTTGATTGAATTAAACACATCAACAAAAGTAAATATACATCTAGCCATCATTAGACTATAAAAAGTAAAATATCTGTTTCATTTGTAGACTCCCCCTTTCCAGTCGAAGACAGTTGATTGCCAGTAGCATAAGAACATTTTACATCCGACCATTATGAGAATGCAAACAAGTAATGAAATTTCTTTTTAATATAGTTTGCAAGATGAAAAAAGAGAACTTGGTATGAAAGCTGAGGAAGTCGGTAGGATGCAGGCAGAAAATGTAGAAATGGCTGACACAATTGAGAGTCTAGCTGAATCTCACAAGTAAGTTACTTACTGTTGAAATTTGTAGTTACCTCCCTTGTATTGAAAATAACATTGCCTGTGATAGATTAACTTCTATGGTGACATATATTTTAGATGTGAGTCTAAAGACAGATGTTGACCATTTAATTTATGAAATGAATTTATTGGCACATTAAAACAGGAATGTATTCCAGCTTTAATTGAAGTATTAAAAAAAGTCTTATTTTGATTTTTTTTTAATGTTTATATTTTGAGTTTTCGTTACAAGCAATACACTGAATATTATTAGGAAGGAAGTAGAAGAGGATGAGTAAGTCCCAGAGCTTGTTGTTGTCATACCCTACACTGTGAATCTACTGAGGCATGCTGGATTTTTAGGAAAAAGGAAAGATTGTAATCTTATCTTAAACACCAATGTTGCAATCTCCTTTTTTTTTTAAATTTGTATTTTCATACTTTTCAGTATTCAAGGGATATTTCAGAAAGAAAAGTTACTTGAAAATGTATCATTCAAATCACCAATCTTTGTTTATATGTATATACAACCTTAATGTAAAAGGGAGATAATTAAAACAAATATCAATATCTCATAAAAATCACGCTGAAAAAGGGAAGAAAATTGATAAATTTCAATGGAGTCTAGATGTGAATCAACTTTTGAAATAGTGATAAAATTGCTTTTCCTTTAATTACTTTGAATTTTTTTTATTCCAAATGTGTCTGTGATATATAATGCATTGTCAAGCGATTGAAAATGTTACAAATTACTGAACTAGATTTTTGTTTTCTTCACCAAATTATTGTGGCATGCATTCTGTCTCACTAAGATTGACATGTATTTGTCTTCTGGGTTTTTCACTGAGAATTGTGAGCAGTGTTGAAAGATAATGTTTATCAAATGATGTTGTACGTTTTATAGTCACAATTCCTTCTGCATGGCCACATCATTCACTTATCCGTTATTACCCTAAATTGTGTTTCTATACAGCAGAAAATTGTGTTTCTGTACAGCAGAAGTCCTTTTTCCACTGTGATTTCATTTATAAAACTTACATTTTCATGGATATTTAATTTCTTGGATTTGCTAAATTCTGCATACAAGCCTATACAAAATGTGTTATTCGTTGAACATTTGAATTTGTGGTTCACCTGTACCCATGAAATCCAAGAAATATTGGTATCCAACAGATAATAATGAATCAAATAATTATAAACCAATTTCCTAGAAATTTCAATCTTCACATCAGAGGCCCATCATCTATAAAATAATTTTCTTACAGTTTTTAATTCTATGAATTTTTGCTGAAGCCAGTACTGTAAGTAAAGCTGGTCTATCACTCTATGACACTGTTGCAAGATTGTCAGTTTTGATTCTTAAAATACAGCGAGGTACACTAAATAAGAACCAGGACAACGAAACAGAACTGACTCATATAAACTGTTCTGTTTTAGATTTTGAGTTGGAAAAAGTTGGAAAGGACATTTATAGCTCAAATACTTTATATTTAGTGCATTAATGCATTGTTTATAAATCACTACTTTTAGGGCAGTTCTTGCACAGCTTAATCAACAGATAGAAGAATTCAGAGAGCAGCTGAATAAAGAAAGGAAAGAGAGGTAATATGAGGGGGAAATTGGGATTTTTTTTCATCTTATTGCATGCACTTAATAAAAAAAGGTTAGTTTAACAGTCAAATATTTTTTTTATTTTTTTTATTTTCACATTGCATGTTATAGACCAAAAAATTTTTTAATGATTAAAAGTTTATTTATTATTAATCCCACTGCATGTAGATTTGCACTTCATTAGTAACAACTACTACACATGCATGCATAGTATTTACTAGTAATAAAAACCATAAATTTAGGATCATGTAAGTAATTTGTTACATGTATAGCTGCTTGCAAAATTAAAGTTTGAAAGGCAGTTTCTATGTACATATAAAATTACAAAAAACTCCCATGGACTTACTTCTTGACTTATTTTCATAAAATTTTTACTATAAAATACAGTAGTGGTCTTGTCATTATATGTTATTAATATTTATCATTTTGAATGTGAAATGCAAATTTTAGAAATGAAAATTCTCTTTAAAGCTGATATAAAATATGAATTTAAAATCATATTTAATATATGTAAAAAGTGAAATTAACATTATGAATTCTGTAAAACTAGAAGTAATAGAAATGCATCAGAAGAATGAAAAAAAAAAATGCTGAAAATTTAATGGAAATTAGACAAAGTTTTAAAAACAAATTTGTATCTCAAATATATATAGAAAAAATGTCTTGTGATATTTAGTTTGGCACAGAACTATATAATATATTTTTTTATAATGCACAAGATAGAGCATGTTACATATATTTCACGGTATTCTGCATAAACATAATTGTTAATTCTCTGGCTTGCTCAAATCATTCAAGAGAAAAGATCTACTAAGGAAATCATATTTTGTAACCACGTTAGTGTGTCATATTTTCTAATAACATAGAGAGACATTTGAAAAACTAATTGAGAAGCAAATAGCAGAAAAGAAGAAGACAAAAGAGCAAGAATTTGTTAGGTTATATAGCGAGCCATCCCTAACACCCACTCCTTCTCCTCCACGGTAAGGCGGTGACAGAGCTATATCATATCAGACTAATAGTGTGAACATGCCCCCGCGACATATGCTTATAACATTTAACAGTCGCATAAGGCTCTAAGTGACCAAATGTTTTTTTTTTTAATTAACAAGCTTTTTACTCGTAATAGATACATATGGTTATATGTGTGCTCTGTAGAAATGAACTTGTAATGTGTGAATGTTCCCAATGTCATAAACCTTTTACATATGTAACAAATATATAAGACCACAGGTGACCTGGATATAACAATTGACTAATAATGTATGAACAAGCCCCTGTATTATATCCAGTTTACTTGTAATACATATATATAGGCTTGGATATAATCCATTTTCCAATGATTGTATGTTTGAATATCCCAGTGTAATCTGTATAACACTTTGTATTTAATGTCATTTATTATATAGTGTTCATGTCAGAAATTTGTGATAAATGATTTATTGCTAAGTTTTTAATGTGTTTTTTAACAGTTGTTTTCGCTGCCAAGTGTTTTACAGTGATGTTGAATTATATGTGATAATCTGTATTTCGTTAGCACTACACATGGTCAATCAACTCTTAATAGTTATGTTAACCTTGGTTTTGTGTTTTCCTACTGTAACTTTTTGCATTTCCTTTATACAATTACTAGAGTTTTGTGTAACAGAACTTTCTAAACATTTAGAAGGTCTGTATGACATATTTGTCTGAAAAATAATTTTTTGAAATGTTTAGTTTTTTACAGGAAGTAAGTTTTTTTAAATACTGAGATATTGTATGTTCATAATTTCTTTTTTATATTTGAATTGACAAAAATGGTAAAACAATCTTTAAAAAAGAAGACGTTATTACTTGCTCAATTGATATGAACTAAGTTTAAAGTTGTCAGTTTTGAAGTGCATTAAGTGTGAGTGTACTAGTACACATTTTTTGTTTAGGGGCCAGCTGAAGCAGTCTCCGGGTGCGAGATTTTCTCGCTGTGTTGAAGACCCATTGTGGCCTTGGGCTGTTTTCTGTTCTTTAGTCAGGTTGTTGTCTCTTTGAGACATTCCCCATTTCCATTCTCAATTTTAGTGTAAAGAAGGCTCATAACAAGCCAATGCACAGCCTGTCTTAGTCTTACAAGCTGATTAAGAAATGAAAATTTACAAGCAAAGTAATCAATGCAAATTTCCAATACATGTACTTGCAAATTATGTTCTAGAATAAGTGCTGTATGACATTTTTTTTTCACATTAAATGAAAACTGTTTTAAAGGCTGTGACATTTTTCCATTTCAAAATTTTTTTTTCACCACATAAAATAAATGATTAAGGTATAAATTCTCATTTGTATTGTATTATTCTATAAGACAAATGATAGAAAAGAGAATGGAGGAAAAAGACAGGCAAAAGAAGAAATTTGAGTCTCTTGGGTAAGGTGGCATGATGCTCATGCAAGGATAACAAAGGCTGTTGTGATGAAAAATAATAAGAATTTTCATTGCATATAATTGAAAATACTGCTCATTAACAAAAAGAATGAACAATTTTACTTAATATTTTATTGCATGAATAAAGTATGTGAGTGTGTTTGTCAATTGCAATTTTGTTGCATGAATAGAATATATAACTTGTATTTTGTGAGTTGTAGTTTTGAATGCTGAAATACAATTACAATAACTTGAGTTGTGCTAATCTTACAAGTGTTTAAAATATGTGTATTTACGATTTTCCCAGTTTTATCCATCATATACAGATTGTTTTAAAAAATAAACTTTACACAAGTTTATTTCAATATAAAGCATAATTCGATAAATCAGAAGATATCATTGACACATTAGATAAGGTATTTTCATTATAGAGCCTCCTCATGGGGTTTTTGATTCTGTGATTACTTGGCCGTTTTTATAGCGATTATTTGATTACCAGACCAAATATTTCATGATTATTTGATTATTTGATAATCTAAGACTGTATTTTTGTTTATTTGATTATCTTGTTTAAAAAAGTAATTAATGATTATGTGATTATATTGGCAAAAAAAATTGTGATTATGTGATTACTTGGACACCCCCATGAGGGGCCTCATTATATTGCCTGCGAAAAAAAATTACTTTGTAACAGTAAACTACTGACATCACTATATTATAAATCTATCTACACGCTTGTAAGAAGACTTAAGATGGGAAGTAACCCAACAAGCAGGATTAAGATGTTTTTATTGATAAAAACTGAGACCGAAAAAAGAACCTGGATATTTCAATAGTATCTGTCCATATTGGCAATAACTCTTGCCAAAAAATAATATTAATGATTTAAGGTTGTGTAACGATGATAAGTGATAATATTTATTTCAGAATATTTTTGTATTTTATTGGGGGTATGGGGGCTACTTATAATGTTAGAATTTTAATATTGGGTCCCTAAATGAGTTATGATTAGAAGGTATGAAATTTTTATAAAGATATTTCAGTAAAAATTGTCTTAGGATTGAAAGGATTTTAATGTCCATCTATTTATTTTGTGAAGAGAGGGGTACGGATGTAAAATGACTTGAAATGTTTGATTCTGATTAAATTGATTAAATAATGGATATGTTTTTTTGGAGGAAATGTCTTTCAGTGTCTTTGGAAATTATAATGTAGATTAGTGCATGGTGCATAATAACATTATATTCTTTTGTTTACAACACTAACCATTTACATTTGTATATGCTATCCAATTTTCAAACTGTTAAAAAAAAATATGAGAAGTTTAAATCAGTGTTACTTGGTTCAGGAAATTTTTTCAACAATTTACCTAAGGTCTTCTAGAGCAATTTTGTTTTTAATGCTTCTTGAAATCATTGTAGGCAAAGATCAACAATCTAAATGATACAGGAAAATTTGTTTACAGTTGATAAACTTGTCTGAAAATAAGAACAACAAAAATTGTGTATGTTAAGAAGGTAACACAAAATAAAACAGGTCCTTAAAGATAATGCTGAAAATGTAAGAGCTGGTTTGATTTGTGTGAACAAATTTTTTTGAAGAATTTTGTAATGGTTTTTGTTTTTGTTTTTTTGTGTTATTAATCTTTTGAAGAAAAATTTACTTTTTATTTTTCAGTAATATTTTTTTTATGTTTCAGGTCACCCCTATTAATGTTAATTAAATTTTGTAATGTTATCCTTTCCAACAGTGGCATAGTGTGCTACAGTTTTTCTTTAATTGTTAAGAAATTAGCTATAAGTTCAGAAACAAATTTTTCATTTCATATCAAAAAATGGAATTTCATGAATTTGTGTTCTTTATTAAGTTTTGTAGATATTTATTTTCATTGTTTAATGATATTTAGGAGATAACATTAACTTATTAAAAGATCAGTGGACATCAATTGGTATTTGCGACCATGAAATTAAAAATTGTAGCCTGCAAATCTTCAATTCAATTTTGTTATGCTGCTAAATCATACATTTTGAAATAACTTCATCTATAATATGACGTCTGCACTTGTGAGCATAATTTCAGATCATCAATCTTGATGAAATTTGTGGCAGTGTCCAATCAAATTAAATATTACAAAAAGTAATGCATTAAGAAATGATAAGTATCTATCATTAATACATTTTTTTCAGGGATAGTGTTTTTTATGGTTTATGTTGACTAATAAATAGTCCAGTATTAAGAAGTTTTTTCAAGATATAATTACATATATATTTGTATAGTGATAGCACCTGCAATCATAGAATCTCTAAATTCAGCATGTTTTTAAATGAAAAATTTAAATTCAAATAAAAATATAAATGACATAAATGTATGCTTAAAAATTTCTTTGTTGTGGAAAACACTTGCAAATTGATAAATGTGGATTTTATATAATTATGATTTGGTTCATTGTCCCCCATTGTTTACAACACAGCTATAATACCACAAATTTTATTTTTCTCATAGAATGAATGTACAAAACCAGAAAAACAATGTATCGAAAGACATAGAAGAAATGAAGATTGAAAACCATACATTCCTTACACAGATGAATACTCAAATACAAGATGGAAAAGTTCAACATCTAGAACTTACTAATGAGGTAAACACTTGGTCCTCTATCATTCCTTACAATCTTAAAGTTTGAGAGAAAGTTGCCACCCACCTCTTTTTGGGAATGGTAATTGTGATCTTTTCATTTTAAGCTAAAAGTAAGTTCTATATTTCATAATTGACCACCGCTAAAATAATTAAAAAACATAAGAATTCCCAGACCACCATTCCTGACCATTTGTGAATTGAAGGGAATTATTAAAACATACATGAGCTAGACTGTGACATGCTTACAATGGATGGAAAGCATTATACCAAACTATGTTGTTGACAAAATTAATAGAAGGATTAAACAGTTAGACTGAAAAATTGGAAAATAATTCAGTAAGGGGTTAAAACTTAGTTAAGGGAGTAAACTCTTACAGGGGGTTAAAACTTAGTTAAGGGAGTACACTCTTACAGGGGGTTAAAACTTAGTTAAGGGAGTACACTCTTACAGTTTAATCAGTGCTTTTTAATCCAAATTTTTTGTTAGATAATCTGTGTTACTCAGAAGGATAGAATACAAGTTATCAACCTAAGTCTACCTTTTTGAATAGACAATCCACTGAAAAAACTGCATAAAAGTGGCAAAACAAAGGATGGTTATCATTTAATTGGTCATTTTGAAAGGTCAATGATGAAATCTGTAAAGAAAATTACAATAAGTTTGATAGTTTATTAATGAAACACTTATCTTTTTAGGGAACATCATTACAAAAAGAACTAAAGGAAGATGAAAAAGAAATAACCAATTTGGAGGGCAACTTGACAAAAGCTCAGGACGACTATCAGAACATGTTTGATGCCATGCAATATAAAGTTGCTAGATATGAGGTTAGTTCGTTGTATTCACAATTTTCCTCTAAAGTTACTTCCCTTTCTTTCTTTGTTTTTTTTTTTTTTTTTTGCAAAATTTGTCTTTTTTTAAATGAGATAACTATGCTTTCTAGGTACTTTAAATTCATAAATTTGTATGTGCATTTGTTATTGTGATTATTGAACTATGGGCAAAACTATGATATTGATTTTTGGTTTTTAAAAAAATGCTGCATATGATTAATGCTATCAAAATTTGAACCATCATATTTCTCTTTATATTCCTGGGAAACCAATCCTGTCAAAATTATGCAATAATTAAAACATCACAAAAATTTCTGAATTTACATTTAAAAAGCTTTAAAATTTTATTTTATTTCACAAAAATTTGGAAAATTGAATGATTTTAAAAAAATGACATGTGAATATGGGCACACACAATCAACAGATGAGATGATAGGAGAGCTTTAAAAAAAATACCTGAAAAAGCAGTGGCTCCCTCAACTGAAGCATGCTGTGAATTCATCATTACAGGTAAGAATTTTTTCAATTCATGTGGATGGATAAGACAATAACTAATATCTCAAAATGAGGAAAAATCTGATACAGTTACAGAAATTTATTTGTAAATTTAGTATACTTCAGTCTAAGTATCAAGATTTTTAACATCTGTGATCTTGTATTATTACTCATTGCCTATACATTTTTGTATTTCAGCAAGAGATTACAGAAATGGAGCGTGCTATTATTGATAGGAACAATCAAATTGAAGAGAAGACTCCAGCATACGAAGATCTAGAGAAGTTTTTTGAGAATCGCACTAATGAATATGATGTCCTAAAACGTAGCATAGCTAGTATGTTGATACTGTCTCTGTTTCTATAGAAACGTCACATAGGTTCAGATGGTAGAGTGTGCTGTGTGTGTGTGTGTGATTTAATTATAGTATCATTTGAGCCACAGTGATAAAGCCCAAAGACAGCTGTGGAATAGTTATAGTATCACATACCAGCTATGTTTTAAAATTCTGCTAACTTTGTATTGTGTGTGGAAAGTGTTGTCATTGTGGGGTTGGATGCAACAATTTGTGTTTAAAGTTGTCCATGTGGTGTTGGATGCAAAATTTCGTTTCATAAATGTTGTCATTTTTGGGGTTAGGCACAACATTTCGTTTGGAAAATGTTGTCATTTTTGTGTTGGGCACAACATTTCGTTTCATAAATGTTGTCTTTTTGGGGTTGGGCACAACATTTTGTTGTTTAAAAGATATTCCTGTTGGATTGAGCATGACAACTTCCATCCTTGTGGGGTTGAATGCAACAGTTTGGTTGATAAAAGTTATCACTTTAGGATTGGGCTCACCAAATGTTTTTTATGAATGTTGCTAATGTGGGGTTGGGCTCACCAAATGTTTTTTATAAATGTTGCCATTATGGGGTTGGGCTCACCAAATGTTTTTTATAAATGTTGCCATTGTGGGTTTGCATGGGCACACCAAATTGTTTGATACAAATGTCCTTGTGTGGTTTGTTTTCTAAGTATTGTCCATAATGGGTGAGATGAAACTTTTTTGTTAAATAATGTCAAATTTCTAGTGCCACACTTGCAAATTCAATAGATTGGAGTTAAATTCCCGATATCCCTAATCCAATTAACATGTCAGTGGCAATTAAGAAATCATATTAGTATTAAATGGATCCCTCACTTATTCCTGAAATCTGGGAAGCCGTATAAGGGTTTTTTACTTCTCTAATAGTTTTCTTAAAGTGTGGTGCCCAAAAAATGTATGTGAGACCCCCTTTCCGTATTAGCTATAAATGACAACAACTTGTAGGCAGAAAGTAAACAAATAAGGAAAGATTTGACAACGCAACACACCATCTCAATTTTATGAACTTTCTCCCCACCCTTGATTTTCATTCTGAGGTGAAACCTTAGTGTTTTCCTAATGGTGTTCTGGTTTTACACAATTTGTTTGCTTAATGTTGTCTTTGTTGGATTAGATTCTACAATGGGTTTGATAATTATTGGTCTTGTTGGATTTGATATAAAGGTTTTTTTTTTGCTATAATTGTCCTGTACAGTTGACATAATATTTTATAAGTTTTTTATAGCAGGCTATTTAAATATAGGGCTAACGATGAACTTGTAATGAAGTTCCCATCCTTAGATTAGTGATTAAACTGTTTAATAAATGTTTATTTCAAAACTAGAAAACAAAAAATGAATAAAGTTAACAGAATGGTGATGCATGTTTAATTTTTTGTTTTTGTTTTCTTATTTTGTTCTTTTAAAAAGTTGTGTTCAAATACTTTTGAGATTGAAAGCATGAAAAATAAGCTGGTGTCTATATGTTTCTATTACTTTCATGATTTTACTGAAATGTTGGGATCATTCATTACATTAGAAAATAGAATATACTATTGTCAAGGATCAAGTTAGTTAGACAAAGCAGATTTATACAGGGACAGGCATCATTTAATGGCATAAGTCATTATCTTTTTTGTGACTAGGGTTTATGGACAAACATCACATTTTAGTTTAATGAAAATATAAATACAAAGGTCATGAAAAATAACATGGAAGATTTTTACTCTGATGGCCAAAACCTTTATCGCTTTTGGTCCACTCTTACTAGATTTTCTGATTTAATTCTAAATAAGTTGAAACCATTACCATGGGAATAACAGATATAACAGCATGATGGAAAACTAACTATATAATTATAAAAATCTTAACTTTTAAAAGAACTCATCGAAAATTATCTATATTTAGGTATTATGTTGTAAACAACAATTCTAACAATTACTTTGCATGCTTACTGTGTGAGATTTATGCCAGAAATTTTACCTTCTTGATAAACCTCATGATTCAAAATCTTGTCTTCATGTGGCAAATACTTGAGGGTAAAATAAGGTGGTCCCATTTTAGTATGTAATCACTAACTTGTGAAAGATGGGGAAAAAAGTCATTGCTGAAAAAAATGATAAAATAAATCCATTTTTACTATGTAAAGCAATATCATTTAACTAACAAATATTAACTTAAAAACAAATTGAATATTTATATGCATTTTTATGAAATTGAAATATTTTGTATGCAAGTAAATGATTATTACAGAGATGAGACAGAAAAAATCTCAGTTGGAGGACAGCATCCACAAGGATACCATGAAAAAACAACAAATGCAGGAACCAAGGGTAAGGCCACTTCAATATTTCAGAATCCAAAGCTTTCTGGGTAAAATGTTTGAAAGCATGAATTAATATATAGGATTGAATGACAATGGTCAAAACAATATATATAGCTGATGACATTATTTTGATATTGGTAGTTTTATTATGATGCTTTTATATTTTCTAAGTTTTATGTTACTATTATTCAGATTTTGAATTAGTATCATGCTTACACCTTATCGCTATTTAGTCCAATCTGGAAAAAACAGTCACTTATACAACTTCCTGTTTGGGTCAAGTCTTGCAAAAATAAAGGTCATCAGTAACGAGCTGAGGGAGGAAAAAGTTTAGAAAGCAAACATTTTGAAACTTTGATAGATTATGATCCATTTTTTTAAAACACAAAGTAAATTAATAAAAATGCTTTGTTTGAAGTGTTTGCGATGGTTTAAACATTTCTCTTTGAAAAGTTTTATGCATAATACATTGTTTAAACAGGGCCCTAGATAGCTTCAACTGGATGAAAAAGTTGTGTAATTTTAGAACTTATCCGGATTTGAATAAATAGCAATAAGGTTTATAGGTGAGTGATACAGACCCATTGAAATCTCAATACTTATAACCTTTGGAAGAAGCTGTTGTAACATTGTTACAATTTAAATAGAATTATACAACATCAATAGTTTCATGTAAAGCGTGTTTGCCACTAGTGTAGGAGGTCTTGGGTCAAACCAAATACTTGAAAATAGATATTTACTGCCTCAAGTATAAGAAATATTTTATTTAGAAAACAAACAAATAAACATGTAGAGCAATACAATGCAAGGATACAAATTTTTCTCGTTCTCTGCCAGGAATGTGGCATTAAGCAGTAGGAAAAAAGACTAGTCATTAACAGGATTTTGTCCTGAATGTGCACGTAATAGTTGCCAACATTAAATAGTCATCTATTTTTAAAAGTAGCATTAACCGTTTGCAAGAAAATTGGTCAATACATGAATTGTACCAAATGATATTCATGTTTTATATATTTACTTTTCCAGGAAAAACTTAAAAAAGATTTGAAAAAGAAACGAGATGAAGCCATATTCCAGCTTAAAAGACATGGAGAAGATCGACAGAAACTTGAAAAAGATATTTACATTGCAGGTTGTAAATTGAGATCAGTCTTGGAGGAGAATCATAAATTTGAAGAGGTAATTAGATCACACCAAATTGACTTATTGTTAGGGTCGTTCCATTAAAACTTTATAGATACCCAGGGAAGGCACTTTTAAATTGCTGCAATAGGGTAGGTTCTGGATGGAGTTTACAGATTAGAGAATAATGGGGTGCTAAAATATAAAGAATATGGAATAATGGGTAAAAAATAAAAATTGGCTTAGAAAGTGAAAGAACAAATAATGATAACCCTCATCAAGACCCTCTCATATTTGGTTGTACGAACACTTCACTTTCAGTATAACTACAAATCAAACTCCTAAATACTTCCCCTATTTGAAAAGTGTTTTATGATGATTAAATTAATTTAATAGGTCAACCTTATTAAGTCTGTTAATTTTGTAAATATTTATCCATTTTGATAGCATGATACCATCTGCAATAATTTTCTAAACACAATGTTTCATTCTCACCAGGCAAATTTTTTGGAAACACACAACATCAATAGAAAATTAAGTGACATCATACAAATGCAAGATATTATTTTAAAAATTATAAAGTTTGTGCTTCTTTTGTATTATGAACGTTAATTCAGTGAAATATTAACTGTTCGCTTTTTTAAAAAATCTTGTTTTGAAGACAAGTAAAATTTTCTAGTGAAACTGAAATATAGGAATGATAATTTGAAACTTACTTACATGTTATTTGTTTCATTACATAGGGATGTGATTATTTGAGAAAGGAAATAGAAGATATTCACCAACAGATGATTGACAATGAAAACATCAAGAATAAGTTGGGCCTACGGTTACAAGAATCAAAAGGTATTTGATAATAAAAAATTTTTTTAGGGAAAGTTTTTGAGACAAATTCATTTCCTAATTCTATTTCACTTTTTTGTCAAAGACTCTATTCTCTATCATCCGTTTTACATTTTTACCAAATTTTATCTTTTTCCTGGCTTTGACACTTGCTGAGAGATAATTTAAATGTAAGGAGATGTGGTTTGATTGTCAATGAGACAACTCTTAACCAGAGTCAAAAGGATGTGGATGTAAGCACTTATAGGTCAGAACTATTCCGTTAAAATGTATGTGGGAGGGTAGGAAGGGAAGTTTAATTATTGAATGTGGGTCATGGGTCTTTTTTCAGTATGCGTCTATTACCATTATGCAAAATTATCTAAAAAATGGTTCTTGTTTGTAGGGATATTTTGAAAGTCCATTCCTACCCTCCCCACATACATTTTAATGGAATAGCCCTCACCATACTGCCTTCAACAATGGGACAAATAAGTATATAAAAAGACTTCTGTTTAAACTGTTTATTTACCTGTAATTTGTAAATATATTTTTCCTGTGAAAATTTGTTAAATAGTGTGAAAAGTTTAAATCTACAAAGAAGAAAAAAAAAAAAAGAAAAACACAGAATGGGCCATGTAAATTGCCATACTTATGTACTGTAAACCAACTTATTTTCATGAGCGATTTATTTTCGCGACTTTCCCGAGTTGAAAAATAATGCGAATATAAATCTTCGCGAATTTGTTAAACTTTTATTTTCCTTTATATAAATACATCAAAATAATTTAAAAATAGCGAAAAATAAGTCGCTGCAAAGTCAGCTACGAAGGGCTAAACGCGAAATAAAGTATCGGCGAAAATAAGTTGATTTACAGTATGTAACAGATGTCTTTCTTGATAGATAATACTGAATGTTCTCTGCTTATTTTCTTTTGTATCTACAAAAAAAACAATAAAAGTTATTTACTTTTTAGGTCATCTAGTTGAAAGCTGGGATGTGGATAATCAGATTCAAGAGGTGTGCTGAGAAGTTATAGTTAGAATTTTAGTCTAAGTTTAAAACTAAAAAATGTTATATTTACATGTTAGAATTGGGGTAACATTTTTTGTCGCCTTGACGGAGTCAGAAGCGAGACATAGGTAAGCTGTTGGCAGCGGCGGTGTCAACAATGTATTAGTTTGTAATTAGGTCTAGTTTATGGTGAACCACTAGTGGTAGGTCAATGATATTTGGTATGCAGTTGTATTAGCATTGGCACATTTCATTTCCATGGATATTATTTGGCCCTGCCCCCCTCAGTCATGTTCTATTGACTTTGAAACTTTTGCTTAGTTTACATGTATTAGTTTGTGATTAGGTTTTTTTATGGGGAACCACTAGTGGTAGGTCAATGATATTTGGTATGCAGTTGTATAAGCATTGGCATATCTCATTTCCATGGAGATTATATGGCTTCGCCTCCTCAGTCATGGTCTATTGACTTTGAAACTTTTGCTTAGTTTACATGTATTAATTTGTGATTAGGTCAGTTCAAGGGGAAGCATTAGTGGTAGTGCAATGTTAATTGGTATGCAGTTGTATAAGCATTAGCACATCTCATTTCCATGGAGAATATTTGCCCTCGCCCCCTCAGTATTGGTCTATTGCCTTTGAAACTTTTGCTTAGTTTACAGTATTCGTTTGTGATTAGATCAGTTTAAGATGAACCGCTAATGTTAAGTCAATGATATTTGGTATGCAAATTTATTGGCATTTGCAAGTCTCGTTTCCATGGAGATTATATAGCCTCAACCACTCATCATGGTTCATTGACTTTGAAACTTTTACATAGTTTACAAGTTAATATTTGTGTTTATGTTTGTTTAAAGGGAACGACTTATGATAAGTCAATGGTATTTGGTATGCATGTGTATAAGCATTGGCACATCTCATGTGAAACAATTAAAAAGAAATGGTAAATTGTCATGCAATAGAAACAGAATTATAATAAGAATATAAAACAGCCATATGTCAACAATGGTGTTACTTGCTTGGTCAATTACAAAAGTTTATATATAGGATATTCCATCAAATTGGATGTGGGATGGTAGGAAGGGACATCATCATACCGCCCACAACCAGCATGCCCCCTATCAGTATTTTGCATACATAAAAATGAACATACAACCATAAATTACCCACAACTCATATCCAAAAATAAAACAACCTTTCCTACTCTCCTACATTCATTATAATGAGATAGCCCTTACTGGAACACTTAGTATTGATTTCAACATTTTACTGAAATTGAACAAATGCTAGAACAAACTTCGTTTTTCGTTCATTATTTTGTACACAAATTAGGCCTTTAGTTTTCTCGTTTGAATTGTTTTACATTTGTCATTTTGGGGCCTTTTATAGCTGACTATGTGGTATGGGCTTTGCTCATGTTTTGAAGGCCGTACGTTGACCTATAGTTGTTAATTTCTGTGTCATTTGGTCTCTTGTGGAGAGTTGTCTCATTGGCAATCATACCACATCTTCTTTTTTATATTCATAATGGCTTCATGAATTTTAAATTGTACATTGTATGGCTTCAAGAATTTTGAATTGTACATTGTATTATTTTTCTAAATTCAGAACTTTGCAGAAAAGGATAAGGAAGTTCTAGAGCTGTTCGGTGAAATTCTTGGTAGGACAGACGAGAGAAGGGACAAAATCACGGAGATAAGTTCCAGACTAGAAGATGAGCTGCTTATGTTAGGTGGTTTCCTTGATAACTTGTCAACTCGTAGACCAAAAGGTACGATGATTTTATATGTTTGCCACTAGTTGTTGGTAGTGAGTATTTTAATATGTGTGTTTTTTTACACTTCATTGCATTCTAACATTTAATATAAAGCTTAAATATTACAAGAGAAAAACAGTTTATAGTTTATAAATATTTTATTCTTTGTATCGATTTTGATATGTCAACAGGTTTTGACATAAGACAAGAGATAAATGTTAGAAGATATAAAAAAAAATAAAACATTCCAAGAAGCATGTATATTTTAAAAAATTTCACAGAATTTACTGTCTTAAAACGTATTAATTCAATTAAGCACATGTTTTATTATGATCTCACATTTACACAACATTTTTGAATGTTGTACTTTGAAAACTATTTGCAGTGGTGTTATTTTAGAGTTAATTTTGATTGTATATTCAGTATTTGATATCTAACGCTCACAAAATATCTTCTGTTCATATTTCTTCTTATTTTATTTGTTTGTGGCTTTTATAATCTATCAATTAAATGACAGTATTCTACACAGAATATGGAATGGAAAACATACCTCAGTCCTCAGGATTTGGTTATTTTTTGTGTAAAAGTGCATTTTTCAGGACATCAATGTTTTTCATCACTATGATTCTTTTATATAGAACAGTATTAATTTTGATCAAAAACTTAAAGGTTACTTTAACCTATATTTTAGAAAAAAATCTTTAAAAAAATTTGTCTTAAGGTTTTAATCCATGTTACTAGTAGTATATCAGAGATTTTGCATTGCTTTGCCTTTACATGACATTTCTGTAATGGTTTGGGCACTTTGACCTATATTTCACAATAAAAAATAATGGAGACTGTTTTACTTAAAATTCTATTTTTCTGAAATCTTTGATGATAAATTAATGATATCCCACAACTACATCCCTCAATCTCTAACGTAAGACAATATATGTCACACAACACCCATCTTTATTTCTGAACATAATTTCTTATGGTACTTTTTAATAATTTGAACATCAGTAAAAAAACCAGAAAGACTGTTTTTCCTAGTCTTAATGCCAATGAACCCCCTTTTCTTTCAAATCTTGATGAATCCACGCTAATTTAATACAGCGAGATCAGGTAAAATAAGACAGTTTAATATTTTGTTTTGTTTATTAGCATGTGACTTTATTTCAGCATCATTGCATAGTAAGTACTAGATCCTGTAGTAATTTTATAGATTTTCATTTTTAGGAAAGAAAAAAGTTACTTTAAAAGGTATTGGTAACCAGTTCACTGTGTTAAATGTTCAGTTCTAAGTAAAAGCCATGATGTTTGGGGGATATTCCTGTGATAAAAAAAAGGATAAAAAAGTACTAATGGTTGCTTACTTCAACTCTATTTGGTATCTTGTGGAAAGTTGTCTCATTGGCAATCATATCACATCTCCTAATTGTTATATGACATTTAGAACTTTTTATGTAACAATAGTAAAACATTTAGATGAAGAATATTATGACAAATTTACAATTATTTATACTGTCCTTAAAGATTTTACAGTGTATTTTTTTCACTGTTGTTAAATGTTTTTTTGGAGAAAAAAAATGTCAATTCAAAAGGCTTTGAACAAGTGTTGGCAAAAATATAAAAGTACTTTTAAAAAAAGATTTCTTATCTCTAATCTCTAGCTTGCTTCAAACTTATTTAAAATGGATTTATAATTTTCGAACATCATGGTTTTTCCAGTTCTGTTGTAGTGCCATGTCAATTGCTTAATACAGTTGCATCATTCAAAGTGCCCCATTGAATAGACAAACTTCACAAATAGGCAATCACAACATAGACTTATATTTCACAAAAATATAGAACTATCCACATTTATAGCATGAACAGGTACGAAAACCAATTATGCTCCCATTGGCATTCCTTTTACATCAAAAGCCTTTTTTGTGTTAACCAATTACAACTTAAATTTTGAGATATCTTAAGAAATATTCTATTGTTGAAACTCAAGTTGCTGAGGAGGAACTCAGGTAGTTCACCTGAGAAACATTGATCTTAACACCCAGCAAATTTTTGAATAGCTCTTGATAAAATTCAATTAGAGTTACTAATTGCAAGAAAATTTTAAACACAAAAATGGTTTTTGCTGTAAATGGTTTCATGACTACATCTTTATCCTACATCAGACAATCTGATTTTCTATACCATGCAAGACTTCAGGCTTGCCTTTCCCCTGTATACAACTAAATGAGCAATTTCTTGCCTACCCTTTTTCAGACATATTTTTTTATCTATAAAACCTTCTGCTTAGTATGGTCCAACTCTTACCTAGTATTTTTATCTGAATTGAATTGAGAATTTATTCTTATGAAAACTGTCTAAAACCTACTGAGAAGGAAGCTGTTAACGTCCAAGATAAGATAGTTTATTCCTTGTTAAATGTCCAGTGGCAAATATTTTATGTCTATTCAGGACTACAACAAATTGACCATAACTACAATACATAGGTTCTACAAGGTAGGTTGACCGGGATGAAAGGCAGGATATGTTGTTTGCCACTGGAAAATTAAGGTTCTTTGAAAGGGGGAGAAATATTGCCTTGCAACAGGTCACTACAGACAAATTAAAATTGTTGCATTTGTCTTTTTTGGTTGCAATCTAATTGGCATATACTTAATCTCTAATCATTACTATATAAGAAGATATGTACGTTGATGCTATCCTAAATGTTGTTAAACCATACTTAAGTATTGTACTTAATGTTGTAATATAAAAAGCCCTCTTCCCAAAAGGTCTTGGTTGTGCATAATTATTGTGTAGTCTATAAAATGAAAGTACTTAGGAAAAAATATTTCAGCTTACCTGGACTAAAGATCTTAGTATTTTTCACCTCCAGGTCACCTGGACTGAAGATCATAGTAATTATCACCTGAAGTAATTGCCAGATTTATTGACATTTATAACAGATTAATTTTTTTCCTAAATATATTTATTTCCTAGAGTAAGGAGGCCTTAAAAAATATTTGTGTTGAAATTAATTGACATTTATTGCTAGAAAGTTTGTTTTTTTAAGTTTTTTCCATTTTTTACATACATATAATTTCATGTTTGAAGTAGCCAGATGTTTATTTTTTTGAAGCTGAATAACATACCCTCATGGTAATAAGAGGAAATTGAATAAAGTAAATGTATGATATATGCTGACATTATTTTTTTAGCAACTTTTAAATACATGAGGTGTCTGACATCGGCATGGTGGACATATTTTTGTACTTTTAAACTTATTTCTTGGTCATTTTATTGATAGAATATTCTGTAATGGTACTGATGCCTTGATCAGTTGATTTCTGGGAAAAGTTTTTTCTCATATAGAAAATTTAGTCAAAATATATTGACCTAATTATGTATTAATCTTTTATTTGTAAATGTAAGCATAAAAGAAATAGACTTACTATTAACATTAGATTATTAAATTAGCCAGTATTTTGACAAATGGACACCGTTATTATTGTATTTTAGTTATAGTAAAGTATGTGAACACTTTAAATGTAACTTGAAAGTTTATATGAAAAATATATTTCAGTAGAACTGTGCAGGTGAAATTTGAAATTTCAGCAATGATCGTGTTCAGTTTTATCTTTCAGGATTCGAAGTGAAATTTGATTGAAAAATTTTAGGAGTGAAACTGCATCAATAAAATTCACAAATTATTCTTTAACTTTTTCAGATACTCCTGTAGGAAGCAGACATCCGCATAACACAGGGTCAAGGTCAGTTAGCAGAACAAGCCGTCGTGACCCACTAGATCATATGAGTAAGCGACCAGAAACAAGCGATGGAAGATTCAGTGCATTAGAAGCTCGTGCAAATCAAGAGGAACGTGATTTAATGGTTACACCTAGTATTCAGGACAAATATTCGAGGCCACCTACTGTGGCATCAGGGAAAGTTGTGACAATATCAGATGTAAAAGATAATGAAGCAACAAAGTGATATGTTTTTATTTATTTTGTTTGTTATTTATATGAAATAAATTTTGTCGATATTTTTACAATTGATCTTAGTTTATTTTATAACCTTTTTATTACCTTTCCAGTATGAATTTCATATAAGGTTGTATGATTTATGAGAAGTATTCAAAAACTTTTAGATGCTGTATTGCTTTTATTTAGGTTGTACTTGCAACCATTTTAGCATTTTTGCTAAGGAGACAGATTATTTGATGGTTCATTCTGTAGTTTTTACAAAGTGTCCAAAAGTCTATCTATTAAGGTGCATTTGACTCCAATCTTAATTGACTAGGATTGTCAGTTTTCCTGCTGAAGGTCAGTGCTTCTCATAGGGCACTCCGGCTTCCTCCAATAATAAAAACAGACTACCATGATAAAGCCAATAGTGCTGAAAGTTGCTTTAAACACCAACAATCAATCAATCATCTTTAAACATATTTATTTCAAAAGCTACTTAATGAATTAGAACAATTCTGTCTTGAATGTCACAGCAATGAACTTTTTTCCTCGTTGTTGATTTGACATCATATATGCCTATCTATATATCTGAGTTTTGTGGTAATAAGCATTGTGTATAAGTTTCATAACATTTGGTTGAGGCAAACTTAAGTTAGAGAAAGGAAACAAAAAATTCAGCAATTTTTCTGTTTGTAAAGAAACATCTAGACAGGTAAAAGTGACGCCACCCAAATCCAAACTTGATCTGTGTTTTGTGGTAATAAGCATTGTGTATAAGTTTCAAAATATTTGGTTGAGGCAAACTAAAGTTAGAAAATGGAAACCAATTTTGGGACGCATGCACGCACATACAGACGGACAAGTGTTAAACTTAATACCCCTTCCCTACAGCAGGGGCATAAAAATGAGTACTAGCCATTAAGGAAATTACTGAAATTTACTCAGTTCCATCATCTCAAAATTCTGCTATTATTCTCTTAAAGAATACAAAAATAGAACTCATCTTCACTGTAACCAAATAAAAACCTTCTATGATGTCTGAATGCTCTAGGTTGAAATCTGTGGGAGGAGATGATTACAGAAAATAGGAACACTCTTTTCCCTGTCAGCTGACATTCACAATACTGTAAGACCAATTTGAACTTCATGCAACTAGGTCAAATATAAGTTTTTATGCAATTTTTTAGGTATTTATAGATCTGATTGGATAATGGCAAGTGTAACATTCTCAATCTTATGTCTGTAACTAAGGGAAGCAGCCATTTTGAATTCTAGAACTTTATTGATATGTGATTTCTTCCGTAATAAACAAAATAGTCACAGTTCTCATTTGAAAATCTTTATATTGTCATAATTTCATTCAATTCAAAAATGTCTAGTGTTTATGTTTAGTGTCAGAAGCGTACCTTCAACGTCAGTCGGTTAAGAGTTTGGTTTCACATTTTGGCCCCACTGAATTTTTCAAATATGAAGTTATTGTGCAATAAAATTGATTTGTAGATATCTGAAGAATAATATAGCCTTCAAAATGGGTTTATATGAACATCAAGATTGTTTTTTGTAGGCCATTTTCTGTTTTACAGTCCATATTTTCATATCCATACCGTCTATTGGTTCAGAAATTATTGTAGTGTTTTCCAACAAATATTTTATGTTCAAACTTTTCAATTAAGTTTTATGAAAAAATGAGGTGAAATGCATATGATTTTTATTTGACATCTTGATTGATAAATGTCAATGGTTTCAGAAAGGGTAGCACTCAAATGGATTGAAATTCCACTTTGGACCAAATTTTGGGGACTTATATGACATTTCACCCCCTCTTTAAACTATTTTGTTTCAAATAAATGCAGATTGTTGCCATGGTTACACCATACAGAGATTATATTTCACCATTTTATCTATTGAAAATCATATCTATGAAAGGTGATGTTTTCATATATATGCACATGTATGACACAAACAGTAAGCCTTATTTGTTAGAAAGCAAGAAAAAGAGGGTGGTTAAAAATTATGAGTGTCAAATTTAAGTTTTTTGGGTAAAGATTGCATAAAATGCAATCAAAACCCTATGGTACTGACTAGATATCTAAATCTTCCAAGGTTTATCACTACCTTTTAGATACACAAAATATAGTGCATTAATCATAACATTCTATACATCCTATCCATGAACTTTTCCAGAAATTTATCAATGAAAAATAAGCTCATATATTCAAGTCACAAAATGATGTTATACTTGTAAAGAAAATTACATAACTTTTGAAAGGTGCAGGAATCAATATCTGTTCTAAAAATATCAATGATGTCATAGTTAGTCATCTTTAAAAATTGGAGTTATCTTCCTTTGTCCAGAATTGTAGTTGAATCAACTATAACCAATGCTTTTTACAATGCAATATTTAATTTTACTTCCCACTGATAAATTAAAGCAATCTTTACCCTTCAGTTTTACAAGTGTAAGCACTTTGATTCTTAACTGTGTATTGCTACTTTAGGGTCCAAAGACATGAATGACATATCACAAAATTTTGGAGATATGAGATTTTCACTCCAAAATAATGACTGAAGTCCAATTATTTGTTTATTTTACATTATAATGGAGATAACCTTTTGTATTTTAAGCTTTGCCAACATAAATCTCTGGTTTCACTGCACAATTATTTGTTTACCTAGCTCCTCTGCTGTGCTTCATTTTGTAGGCCACGCTTACAATACATTACAGTTACCTCCTAAATACAGATAAGAGTTATGTAACTTCAACACAGGAGAAGATTTTGATGAATTTAATCATAAGGGATCTGATATCATAATGTATTCACACAGTTAAAAGACTCGCTTTTTATACAGTTATAGGAAATAAATAATAAAATTACAATAAACCACATGAGGCAGTTGTGTAATTTGATTGGTGCAGAATATCCTGGGGATTTAACATGCGACTGATGAGTTGTGTAATAATTTTAATAAATTATTATTGTTTATGATCCAATCATCTACTGTCTGTACAATTGTCAAATATAGAATTATATGGTTGATAATGTCTCTCATTCACAGCCCAACATTCATACACGATAAAAAAAGACAAGCACTTCTACACTTCCTCACGTAAAGCGTTTATGCAGTTCCGTAACAACTGAACCTGTGCCTGAAAACAGAAAAGAAGATTTCTGTACAAATCATTAAATAAATGTAGCATTACATTTTTGCAAAACAATACATGTAGTGTTAACCCACAGATGTGATTTAAAAGACGTCTCTTCAAAATGAACTTACAATTTTATAGATCTTATGAGGACCCTGCGCTTAAGATTTAAAGACAGATACAAGAAATAAAAAAAGAATTCAACTTTCTTGTATGAAATAGGATAGACCTTTTCACAATAACACAGATATATAATATAACCCCTAATTTGTATGTCAAACAAGTTAAGATTTAAAATAACAAAAAATTTGATTGACTATTTTTTACAAAGTCAACTTTAAAAGCATCAACTACATATATTACCTTGGAATGTTTAAGTTCTAATTCAGCCAGGTCAACTAAATGTTTCTTGAAATAAGATATTCTTCGACTCTTAAATTCTGTCAATTCTGAAAACAAAAAATTATTCTTTGACTCTTAAATTCTGTCAATTTCGAAAAAAATAAGATATTCTTCGACTCTTAAATTCTGTCAATTCTGAAAAAAATATGTTAAACCTCAAACTAATAATCATCACTTTCATTGTTTTATAGCATAGAGTATGAAGTGATTACCAATTTTATTGTAAGTGGTCATCTCTGTTTGTATTTTATCAAAACATATCCATATTAAATTCAGATGTTGAAGCTTCAAATAGATAAAGTAAAACAAAATCATGAACCCAGTTTACAGTAAAATTTTACTTGATTAGCTTTACAAAATTACATACAAATGCATACAATAGTGGATGACTGAGAGAATGAGTGTTTACAAGATGTCTTGTGTAGAGATTCTAAAAGCTGTCGCTACAAATCGGTTAACCAACATCTTGCAAATGGTCAAATTCTATTCCAATTGTTACACAATCTTTAAAAAATTGTTAGATGTTGAAATCAATATTGCTTCAATTCAATGGCTTGGTTCCAATGACATTTTATCTTAAGTTTACCTATCAGAGTTCCCCCTGCACAACTTAACTTTCATTTACACTTTGTTCAATAAATCTTGGAACAATTTAAATGAAATTTTCTGTATGCGATATCTTTTAAGTATACCTTCTCTTATCAATTACTGATCACATATTCCCTGCTCAGGGGGTATAATAAAAATTCAAAATATCATCAAATTAGAAGCGACTGCAAGGCAGATCTGAAAATTGAGTGAACAAATATCATAAGTTTTCAGACTGAATGTCAAATTACTCTTTCATACAGAAGAAACAAAGTTACAGACAGACAGACAAGGGGGTTGCAGTATACCATTCATTCTGTGAATGGATGTAAAACAAAATAATGAATGGCATCTACCAAAGGTCAAACGGTACTTGTTTTAGTGCTTACCTTTTTTAGCAACTTCTGATATTTTTTCATATTTCTCACAACAGGTTTGTTGATTCTTTTCAGCCTGAAAATATCAGAGAGTTTAGAAAATGCACTTATTTTAATAAAATAATTTTGTCATCGGTTTAATCATCCCATTAGTAAGTGCCTAAGCAGGGGCCAAAATTTATCACATACATTGTGATAAACTCTAAAACTGATAACTATTGTATTTTTATAAATTTTCAGTTCCAACACTGTTGATCAATATTGATCTCTTGCTGCAGTTTTTGACCCTTTTTTATATGCCGGATCGCATTCTACTTAAGCTTTGCAACTTTTGGATCTGAAGTTAGATGATCAAGATCAATATATGAAAGTGCTTACAGTGCAGTAAATTCAAAATGCTTTACTTCAAATGTTTCACCAATCTTAGAATGTATTTTTTTTGTCGCTGGATCAGAGAATAACAAATATGATAAATATCCTTTTAATCAAGTTTTCTTGGGTGGAGCATAAATCTTTTTTTTTTATAATTTAATAGAAAAATAACATTTGTTTTCTCTTGGATGGAATGGAGCATATCTCTTTCTTTTGTTAATTAAGAAAAAAAATCAATATAAGTTCTTTCCAAATTTTTGTTTTTTTGTAGGGATTTTTATTTTTTTTTTTTTTTAATATAAACTCACAACATTTTCATATTTTCCTATGTAAATAGAAAACAAACTCATAAATCTTGCAAAAATCCTAACTGCCAGTGCCTTCATTAACTTATATTATAATCCCATAATCTCTATCATTGCTAGATTAAAACAAATTAATGTACAATAATAACCTACCTGTGCAACCTCTTTATTTTTGGTTCGAGCTTTTTCTAAGGCTTTATTGGCATTTTCATAATCGACCAATGATCTAGTACGTCTGTATAATAAATCCTTTCCAGCTGATGAATCTCTCATGTAATATCTCAGAGTGTCACTTAATTTTAAATCTTCATCTGATGCTACTCTACCTTCTAATTTCTACAGAGGAAAAATTATGTAAATATTAATTGCATTTTTCTAAGAAATATGGCAAGATTATATCTATAAATAAGAGAACAAGGGAAACAAAGATCTAATGAATGTAAAATTTAAAATCATTCAAATCTTGTCTGGATTTTTTTCAGAGCTTTTAGTTGATTTATAAATAAGTAAAATATATTTCATCTACATATCTAAATTTAAAAAGTTCTGGTTTAATTCATCTATTTCTCTCTTCAAATAAAGTATAATAAGGTTTTATGTATTGATACATGAGCAACACAACTGGTGTCACATGAGAAGCAGAATCTGCTAACCCTTATGGAGCAGCTGAGATTACCCCACATTTTTGTTGGGGTTTGTTTTGCTCAGTCTTTACTATTTTTCTATGTCATGTTTTGTGAACTGGTGTTTGTATTTTATTTGGTTTTTGTTACCATGGTTTTGTTGGTTTCTCTTTGACTTATGATTTTTGATTCTCCCTTTGGCATCTTCTGCCTCTTTTTCACAATGGTCTAACCAATGATATTTTAAACTTTAGGCTTTTTTTTTCATCCTGCTATACTGATGTTATTTCTTCCAACTTACTCTGGCTTTTTCTAATGCTTCTGCCAATTTTGTAAACACTCTGAAAAAAATAAAGGCAGAATCAATTAATGTAGGTTCGAAGATATATTTTGCATGCATATTTATGATCAATTGAAGAAAAACAAACAATATTGAGCTTAAGTAAAAATATAATCAAATTCATTTCTCCAAGTTTCAAGAAAATTTTCAAAGACTACTAGGGCAACATTCAGGTTAATTTTTGACATTGACCAAAGTTTTAATTTTGGTATACCAATTTTTGCAAAGTTTACAATTAGCAAAAAAAAATGCTATTTGAGAAAGTTGTCTTTTACTTAACTAATTTAACCAAATCGTACCTGATTTCAATTGATACCTTATTCAGGAATGTTATATTTCAGATAAGCTGATTATTTAGTTTATGGAGTGGAGATTGTTTTACTAAACTTACTTATCTAATTCTGTATTTTCTATTGTTGCAAGTTGCACAAACCCTGTGGATATTTGTATATAACTGTCAGCTACATCTACAATACAAATACAATACAAGTAAAGATAATGGCAGTTGCTTTTTCTTTTCTTTTTTTTTTTCTAATGAAACAGGGCCTTGGTGGCCAAGTGGTCTAAGTAGTCGTACTACTGTATCACTAGCCTGTCACACTGAGGTTGTAAGTTCGAATTCCGTAAGTGGCAGGTGCGCTTGACTCCAATCCTAATGGACTAGGATTGTCAGTTTTCCTACCAAAGGTCAATGGTTCTCTACAGGAGCTCCGGCTTCCTCCACCAATAAAAAATGATCGCCACGAAATAGCACAATAGTGTTGAAAGTGGTGTTAAACACCAATCAATCAATCTTCTAATGAAATAATTGTTTTTTGCTAGTCTTTCCATTATTTTTTCTTTTTGCCATGGTATTGTTGGTTTGTCTTCCACTTATCATTTTTTATTGCCCTTAGGTATTTTCTGTCTTTTAGTAATTGGTGACCTTGCCTAAGAATTCCTTAATACCATTTTTGGTTTCGACACCTGGGATTTTTTTAAAACATCTATCAATAAAATTTGACTGCAAGAAAGAAAAATGACTAACACCTTTACAATTTCAGTTGTAAATGGGTATAAAATTATCTTACTTTTATGGCATCTTGTCATTTTATCTGATTTGCCAGTTCCATCCTTTATTTTTGTGTGGTATTCTATTAAAAAGACTTTTTGTTGTTCGAAAAACTCATCGACATCCTACAATAAAAGAGTCTTGGTTAAAAAAATTACATATCAAGAATAATATTGATTTTACAGCAAATTTTTTTTATTAGGAATAAAAAATGGATTGCTGTAATATTGACTAAATGATTCGGATAAACTTTAAAGAAGGAAGAAGAAATTATAAATACAGTGAATTTTTTTTAATGGAGACAATAACAGTTTATAAAACTTGAGAAACCTATTTGCTGCAATCTAAATATTGAATTTATAAATGTCTATTGATTGGTGACATTATATGTTAAAGTAACATTTAACATTTGGAAGCACAATTTTCAGAAAAAAAATTTCTTCCATTTTTGAGAATGTTCAAGCTATGTAACATAATACATGTATACATAAACATATGTTGCAAATTGGTTTTCTCAATTGTTAAATCTGTTAAATCATTGCTTCAAAGTGAGTTCAAAACCTTAAATGTGAATTTGACTCAATAATGAAATCCTATCAATAAAAACATTTCATCCAACCTTGAAACAAATAGCAAAGTTTTAAGATAGCACTTTCAAAAATATTTTTTTTCTAACCCAGTTTCACATTGCCACTACAATAATTGAACAGCAAATCCTCAATTGATAACAGAAAACCTTTACAAACAATATTATAATCATTCAATGTCAGAAAAAGGGTATAATATTATTAATATAAATATACAAAAAAAAACAATGTACAGTACACACAAGGTGAGTACATTTAAAAATAAATCTTGGTTTGAAAAAAATCAAATAGAAAAAATAGAAATAAGGTAACTGCTGATGATAGATGAGGATGTTGGATTGGTGTTTAACAGCCAGTGGCAAATATCACATGCATATAAGCAATAGAACATTTAAATGAGATATGAATATAAACCCTACATTGCACTACACCAACAAAATAAGCCAGATTTTTAAAGTGCTAGTTCACAAAGTAGGTCAGAAGAAGGACATAATCTACTTGGACATGATAATCTGTCAATCACGCTACCTCCAGACCACCCAGGCTGTGACTGAAGGACATAAGATGATTATATATTTCAGAGAGAATCACCCACAATCACTATAAAAATCAGATGTGGTATGATTGCTAATGAGACAATTCTCCACCAGAGACAAAATGACATAAACTTTAGCAACTGTAGGTCACTGTACGGTCTTCAACAATGAGCAAAACCCTTACAGCATAACAAGCTGTAAAAAGGCTCAGAAACGACAAATGTAAATTAATTCAAATGAGAAAAAGTTACAGCCTGATTTATTTAAAAAAACAATTAACGAGAAACCAATATGATATTCAACAACAAACAACAACCACTGACTTACAGGCTCCTGACCTGGGACAGGCACATACATGTATGGAATATGGCAGGGTTAGACATGTTAACAGGAGCCAAACCTTTTTATGTAATTTATTCGGAAAAACAGAACAAAAAGAGGTAAATATGTCCATAATCACACAATATTAAAGATGACAAATATTTTTGAAATAAACAAGCATAAATACATTTCTATATTGGTATAGAAAAAATATATATTGAAGTAGAGAAAATACTTTATATGCAGTAAACTTACAATTTCACTCTGTATATTCTGTGTAAACAATAACTAAAAATGTTTCCCTCTTTAATAACATACATAATTCCCAGCCATTCCCAAATTGTGCTAATAGAATCAAAGAAAACTCTCTAGACATGCAAGAGGGATACCGTAATTCTTATCTTCAAAAATAAAAAAATTTGAAAAAACATCACTTAAGGTACCGGTAGACGTACTTTTAATGAAGGAAGGGGATTATAAAAGAGTACTCATTATACACTTTGGAAAATTATTGAGAATTGTGGATGATAATTTATTTTTTTAAGATATGGGCCTTACAACAACATGAATATATTAGAAGGCAGTTTTTTATTACAATATCTTGAAATTATAATTAAAAATTACTATTTTCTAAGATAGAACTTAAATAACTACCTTGACGTTTTTTTTAGACAACCTTTAAGATAATTTTTGCCATACAAATAAAAATATTCAAATTATGTATTATTGAATTCTGGCCAAACAAATTTATAAATTTGTAAATTCCAGATTTTTGCAGATTTTACTAATCGAAAATTAGGAAAGAATAAAAATCACATTAAATAGAACTCACATTTCTGATTCTGAGATCATAATCTTTATGCAACATTTACTTAAATTGAATCAATAAATCCTGCATTCTTTGTTCATGGACAAACTATTGCATAAACAAATTCTCACAATAAATTTCTAAATATACAATATCCCAAAAAAAAACTTTATATCTATTTTTACCTTTTGGCCAGAGAGGAGTACTTCATCTGCTGTTTTCGTCAGAATTTTGAAAAATCCACCTAATTTTTCTTTTTTGTTCTTTCCTCTGACACTCAACTGAAAGAACAATAAAACATCTTAAACAGAATCTTCAAATTATATTGCATTGTATTGACTAATCCTCAATAAAATATTCAATAAAACATAAAGTTTTATAACTCTCGCAGGCTACGTTGAACTTGAAATTTGACCACACTGGCTTTTCTTTTTCTTTTGATATTTAGTTTTATATCTTTCCAAACATTTTAAAGATAATGTAAATAGTATACATATATTTTTATAATCATAGTCCAAATATATGAACAATAAATTGCTTCGCCTAGTGCAGCTGGATACGACCGCAGAGGTCCAACCCTGAACACTTGGGGCAAAAATGGACGCAATATTCGCGCTTGATACAAGTCTGAATTTGGATTGTAATTAAATATTTGACACATAAAAGGTTTCTGCTTTTGTGCAATACACTTTGCTGTTGCGAATTGACCCCCCCTCCCCCCACAAAAAAAAAATAAAAAATTTACCCCCCCTTTTTTTTTGCTTTTGTGCAATACACTATGCTGTTGCGTATTAACCCCACCCCACACTTTTTTTTGCCAAAAAAATAATATTTGAAGAATTTTTCTTTTTAATTTCTGAAATCTGAATTGAGAAAAAATTGACCCTCCACAATTTCTTTCCCCCCCAAAAAAATTCTTTCCCTCAAGATATGGTCATAATCTCAATTCAAATTTCCAATGGAGTTTGCAACCATAATTACCCATTTAAATTTACCATAGTGCTAACTTAATCTATTTTATAATAGAATTTAAAATATGGTCTCAAATCTTTCATATGTATTTTTTTGTAAAAAAAAAAAAGATGCAACATTTGCAGATATTTTTACTGGTCTTCCTTTATAAATATGCATGTCCTCAAACATAATTTAAAAGCAGTGTAAGGGAGGTAATCAAAACGTTGTATTTGGATTACCTCCCTCATACTGCTTTTAAATTGTCTTAATTGTTCATTAACCATTACTTTATACATAATTTAAAAGCAGTGTAAGGGAGGTAATTCAAATGATGTATTTGAATTAGCTCTCTTACACTGCTTTAAATTATGTTTTGTACTAAAGTATTTGTCCATTAACCAGGACACCCTTGTTTTTCCCCCTTTTTTGCCCTTAATTCCTTAATGGTTTGAGCCATAACCCCCCAAAGCAAATCCTAACCATCCCTTTGTGGTATGGAAACTTGTGGTATAATTTCAGAGAGATCCATACACCGTTCCACAAGTTATTGTCTGGAAACTAGAAAAATGCTTATTTTTGGCCCCTTTTTGGCCCCCAATTCCTTAACTGTTGGTACCATAACCCCCAAAATCAATCCCAACCTTCCTTTTGAGGTATTGAACCTTATGGTAAAATTTCATAGAGATCCATTCACTTAAACTAAAGTTATTGTGCGAAAACCAATGTGTTTTCGGACGACAACGACGACACCAACGTCATACCAATATACGACCTCAACTTTTTTTTGCGGTCGTATAAAAAGCTGTATGGGTTCTCATGATATGCACCTTCTCTCATAAGTTAGTATGAAATATTTGATTTGATTTTTTTTTATTTTTGGTGTTTTAATGCCACTTTTAAGCACCGCTTTTGGGCTATTTCGTGGCGGCCAGTTTTTATTGGTGGAGGAAGCCGGAGTGCCCGGAGAAAACCACGGACCTTCGATAGGAAAACTGACAATCCTAGTCAATTAAGATTGGAGTCGAGTGCACCTGCACGAGCGGGGTTCGAACTCACAACCTCAGTGTTGACTGGCTAGTGATTACAGTAGTAACGACTTAGACCACTCGGCCACCGAGGCCCCATGAAATATTTGAGGGTCTTACATTAGCGAATTGACAAAAAAATCTTTACTTATGGTAGATCATGTGAAAGAACCTATTTGTTTTGTAATTAAACATATAATTTCCTTTGAAATTTTCATTTAAAAATGCTAAATAAATTTGTTGTTCTTCCAAATTTTTTTTTGAGAAAAATACAGATCATTGGGAGATATATCTTGATTTTCTAATTTTTTACAAATAATTGTTGTAGAGCATAAAAAATGCTGATTCTGAACTGTGAATTTTTTTTTATTCAATTATGGGAGCAAGTGATTACAATTTGATTTGAAAATTCAAGATTAACATTTAAACAAGAAAACATGATTTAAAAAATGGCTATAAATAGGTTAATATATATAAATGATTTCTGGTGTAAACATATACTTATTATTACTTACATCTTGATCATATTCAAGGAAAACCTCAAAATTAACATCATTTCTCAGTGCAGGATGAGCCGCAATCCGTTGTAAAAACACTTCATGCATAGCTACTGTCTTCTTGAATGTGGCTAAGTATTCTCTGAAATAAGATATATGATACTTTTTATCAACAACATGTTTTTAAATTTCTGCAATATATAAATCAATATTAGTTAATTTCTAACAAATCATTACAAAACTTCTATAAAATCGTCTTCTCTCATAAGTAAGTATGAAATATTGGAGGGTCTTACATTAGCTAGAAGACAAAAAAATTCTTTACTTATGGAAGATCATGTGAAAGAACCTATTTCTTTCGTAATTAAACATATAATTTCCTTTGAACTCTAGCTTATTTATTTATGATCTGACTAAATCTATCAGTCTGTAAACATAAGCTGTTTAAAGTAAATAGAAAATAAAAGCATAAAATCATAACTTTTTTTCATGATAGAAATTATGGTATGTCTTTTAGTGAGATAACTTTCAATTTTTACTATTTAATCAAAACTGTATGCCATAATCTGAGTTTTTTAATCATTTTTAGTAATTGCTAGTGATTGCTTGAGTTTTTAATTCAAACTGCCAATCAAAAAAAAATTGAGAAAGAAGATATAATTTGTTCAAATGTGTTAATTATAAAGACTTCTTTTTCAATTTCATAACATGTATGGAAAGCTGTGCTCCTTACGCTTCAAGCTCTTGCTTCATTTTAGTGAATTCTTCCTTTGTCATTGTGCCTTCACCCTCACCCAATCTTTGTAATTTTTCTCTGGAAGCATCAAAGTCCGGTTTAGGAGGAGCCGGGGGTATCTGTAAATGAATTTTTAAAAGTGACATTTAATCAAGACAACAACTTTGTAAAGCTTATCAAAAGACTATTTCAATAGTACTCATGGAGGAATCTTCATGTGTTGAAATTAATGGCTAATCTAAGACCAAATTTTTGTTGTTTTTCATTGAATTGTAAAGTTTGCAAAGAAAAGAATATGTAAAGTTTTTTCTTTTACTTTTACAAGGAAGTAGGTTTTTTCTTAAGCCTTACAATAAATACCACAAAGACAGAACAAGATTTGTCAGAAGGAAAGTCAAAGTCAAAATTTGCCTATATAACACCTATAAATCAATTTAGAAAAAGATTCTACCACAAAAACTTCCTGCAATATGATATTTCTACACTCTTAAAGTTACAATTCAACAATTAAAGAGGATCTCAAGTGGAGAAATATCTATTTCACTGAATTTTTAACAGAATGTATCAAACACATTTATAAAAACTTACAATAATACCAGCATAATCTTCATTCTCAACATATCTGTCATGTAACCAACAAAACTCTTCATGTTGTCTTACAACTGAGAATTCCCCTTCCTTAAATCTTGACAATGAAGTCTGAAAAAAACAAAATTTAGATACAATCTACAAACAAACAATCCATTCATGAAAAGTCTTAAGCATATTTTTTTTTAAATTCAAACTATTGCTAACTTTTGATATTTCATGTTCCAATTTTTTTTAAATTGACCTGTACAAGGTCAGAGTTCTTGCTTTTAGTTAACCCGAATAATTCAGTCCCTCTAGATCTCCTACTTGTGAGGGCATGAATTCCTAACACGATAAAAACTCTTCACGAATCCTGGATTTTGATTGGTGCCCTGTAGAAGAGGTGACCAATCAACAAGAAGCTCAATTTTATCGAGATAGGTAAATCCCGAGCTTATTCTGAATGATTGATTGAAGATTTTTCATTGTCTATGTATTCAGGAGTTAATGGAGTTATCGTAGATCAGATTTATTATTTTGTTAACTTGTGTTTTGTTGAGTTGCAATCTAACATTTTCCTCATATTTCCTTTCATTTCTCCAGCTTATGAATGCAAAATTGTTTGTCTGACATCAACTCATCGAATTATCAAATCACATATTTCAAATGTCTTTGTATGCTGAAATTTTCTTTGGTTGGTCTGACTAACAAAGAATGTCTGCCAGAATACATTATTAAAAGCTTTTTTGCAGTAATTTACCGTTAACATAATCAAAATTAAGCAAATATTTTAATTAAAAACGATTTAGCTCTATTGCTTCACACAATGATTAGAGAAAAACATTCCTCACCCTAGGCATGAAGACTGTGTCCGATTTGGTGGCACACATTACATATGGAAAAGATTTAAAAGTTCATTAAGTCTTAAAAAAAGATTAAAAAAAAAGAGGATAATGTGAATAACAAAATTTTAAAAACCACATCCAGTTAAGGACAATTTCACAGGTGTTGTGTGAATCATGTTTTTTTCAGCATTACCTTGGTATGAACTGTAAATTTCACTTTATCCCTCTCACTCAATGCATCAGATATGTCAACAAGTAGGGAAGTGTCTGTTAAGTCCACTGTAGATGATCTAGGCTAAATAAAAAATGATAAATGACAAAGTTTTAACATACACAATGTATAATATAATAGTAACATGACAAAATGTGAAACAATTCAAATGAAAAAAAACAAAAAGCCTGATAAAATATATACAGCCCTTATTTTAGATATTTATAACACAACAACAAACTACAAATATGACAGACGGCAAACCAACAACAACCTCTGAATTACAGACTCCTCACTTAGGACAGGCACACATAGAATGTGGCAGGGTTATACATGTTTGTGAGCATTCAAGTTCGCTCAACCCTCCCCTAACCTGGGAAAGTGGTGTCAGAAGTTTGGAACAGTTTTTGGACCTCAGTGGTCTTTTGGTCCAGTAATTGTTCATGCAATACTGGTCCAGTCAGTGTTAAGCAGTCTTTTACATTATACAGATAATTGTAGTCCCTGTGCAATGTTCTAACTGAAAAGTTTTCTGTCATAATGGTAGCATACATGATGTTAACTCTTACAATAATCTCCATAACCCTTAAAAATTCTTAATTTCATACAAATTTTTACTTGTACATTGAAAAGTTTGAGAAAAATTTCTGTTCTTTTCATGAAAATGAGAATCTACTGGACCTTACTTCGTAATTCATCTAAAACTGATGATAATATATGAAATACAATAAAAAATGTCTACATGTACATTTTTTGTAAATCACCACTGGAAACCTGACTGCACTGAATCAGAGTGTAGAATGAATTATCTTTTTTATATATATAAACATGATAAACTAAGACCTGTTTAACCATGCCAACCTATAGAAACTTGTTTTTGACAAATTTGCTTAAACAGATTTCTCAGTACTTTCATATCAAAGCTGATGGTATGTTTCTTTCATACACTACAACAATAAGTGTGTCATTAGCCTGCAGCAGAAGTATGTGAGACATCATGTGTATTGTTTATAAAATAGACATTGCTCAAGAAGGTTTCTTTGATCTTTTTCTACACATTCTTTTTAATTTTCTTTAGATAACAATGCACTTTTAAAAATTCTAAAACAGTTGTGTGGTTAAATGTTTTAAAGAAACCGCCCACTTCACAGCATTTTGACACAATTTTATTTTTAGTAATTACTAACATTAGATTGTTAAATTGACAAGTGAGGAAAATGATTCGACAAAGCTGATAGTATCAGTTTCACAAAGCAAATATATGTGTAAAGCTCTATCATGCTAATGGGTTTTTCCGCAGATAATCTTTTACGGTAAAGAAAGTAAGATCTCTGTCATGCAAGTGTCATGTCTGGAAATAGAAGGGCGACTTTTCATACCTTGTTGTCCTGCTCGCCCGCCAGCAGGTCGGGCCCGTCATCCAGTCCGTCCTGAAATACAAAATAAATGATCAATTTAAATACAGAGCCGCGGTATAATATTAAATAAAAAGCTTTCAAAACCGGAAAAATGTTCGACACCCACCATCATGGCTGCAATTATCACGTGATGTGTATACAGATCTGACGCATTACCACTTTCACATTTACAAATATGCGGAAGAGAACGTTCAATTTTATACCCCTTTAAGAGGTGGATCATCACTATATATTTCCTCAGAAAGAATTTTCTTATACTTTGCCAAAATGTAGATTTTACAATGCTTTTTTACAAAAATAGAATAAAAAGTATGAGTCACCGTGCTATTTTTCAAGCTACAAGTCGTGCAAAATTACCCAAATTTGCATAGATTATTCATGAAATAACACTTTTTTGTGAATAAAAAATAATCTATGAGATAGAATTTTGAAATAAAATATGAGAAGATAATTTTTTTGTATGCTTTAAGAAAATAAAAATAAAAAATTGTGTTACCGAACTCGTTTTCTAGCTACAAGTAAAAAATGAAAATCTCATTAACATTCCTTTATGATATTTTTACTAAAAGAGTCATCTCCCCTTATAGTGGTAAGTTGAAAAATTGAATATAACAAAGGCAAACATTTGGTATTTGGTGAAAACTGTCTGAATACTGCAATGAATTATTTAAATTAACAGTCTTATACATTAATTGTCAATATGTCTCAAAACATGCAAATTCAAGGAGAGAACTAGATCGATTGTGTATTGCTATTTTACAATCCTAGATGGCGGTATACAGTAAATCTACCTTAAAGTGTATGAGAGAAAAAAATCTGTATCGAATCACTGATCACGTTTCGATCGTAAGATGATAAAAATTGTGTTTTCTCTGAGACTTCTTATATAGACAAAATGATAATATTCATTGTGTACCTAATCTCAGTGAGAAACATATAATATAATAGAATGTATATACTGGTTTAAGTCACACATGGGAAATAATATATTTACTACTATTCTAGAATACTATTCTCAGGTCACATTTAACAGGTTCTCTTTAATAATGAATCAAAATGTTAATTTAAAAAGCCTCACTACAACCGGGAACATGACTAAGCAAGAAAGATTTGCAGCACTAAAAAACATTTCTCAGTCTGTTCTAGACTGAACTTGAATAATTCACGGGAAGACCGTTCCATACAGTAGTATCTGCAGATCTTAACTTTTCTTATCATACCGGCTACGGTGTATGTTTATCACATGAATATTTTTCAAGATGTGTGTTTTTAAGAGAATAGATACAGTGTTTAAATTAAAATAAACAAACAGGTCGTGTTTTTTTTTTAAATTCCATTGTCTGCGTTTGCTCTGTCTTGAGATATACAGCGCCGGCAGGCATCTTAACTTTTCCAAACAGCTGTTCGTATAATCTCGAATGGCCAGTCTTCAAACGCACGCAGAACTTAGTACGGATTGTGTTCGAATGTCTCAAAAAGACAGCGATTCACAACAAGATATATTCCGAGTTTTATTTATTTGTCACAAGCGTTACTTTCATATCATTTTAGCGCGAACCAATAAAGTTGATGGTCCTATCCTATTAGGGTGCATCCGAAACGTATTAACCACAAGAAACATGCTATCTTATTTCGAATGAATTTGTCCCTAGTACATTGTATTACCACATTTGATGTTAAAGATAGATTAGTTGTTTGATTGATTGATCATTTTGCTTAACATCCAATGGCGACTATTTTATGATGATATCGATGACAATAGATCTACGCAACCATTCACTGTTTTCATACTTTAATGACAATTATAAGTGTGCAACCGTTATTTAAGGAATGACTGTAATATTTTTTCTGTCTATGAAGAAATAATTTAATTTTGGATGTAACGCGTCTTCTGATTGGCTGACGTTGTTTTGTTTATCAGCTCATAGACATAATTTTGTCATGTGACCGTGACGTCATCAACGTTTTTTCATGGTTTACTCCGGTTTAAAATGGAATTTAGAATTAAATTATAAGAAATGACTGTAATATTTTTTCTGTCTATTCGAAATAACATAAAAAAATGTGGTGCACATTTTAAAATAACCCGCTACGCGGGTTATTCAGTGTGCACCACATTTTTGATGTTATTTCTTCATAGACAGAAAAAATATTACAGTCATTCCTTAAATAACATCAAAAATGTGGTGCACACTGAATAAAGTGTGCACCACATTTTTTATGTTATTTCGAATAGACAGAAAAAATATTACAGTCATTTCTTATAATTTAATTCTAAATTCTATTTTAAACCGGAGTAAACCATGAAAAAACGTTGATGACGTCACGGTCACATTACAAAACTATGTCTATGAGCTGATAAACAAAACAACGTCAGCCAATCAGAAGACGCGTTACATCCAAAATTAAATTATTAAGAAATGATGTAAAATTTAAGTTTCAGATATGTCACGGCCTTTATTTGGTATATCAAGGATTTGTATAGTACAAATCCTTGGGTATATCGAGAATAATGATCGTGAAAGAATTAGCAATGGTGATCAAGTATTGACATCAGATCGTGAAAAGGATTTGGTATCGGATCGTAAAAGACATATTATTGAGAAGACACATGCAAGATCAGTTTTCAATTCAATTTATATAATCATAGGACAAAAATTGTTGAAAAAATAAAGATGTCTGTCAAGATGGTTGGACATTATGACCAGTATCTGAAAGAAATCAATATCTAAAGGAGCACATGAGATCATTAACAGTGTTTGTGGGGTTCTTTTTGCTCATACTTTACTCTCTATATGGTGTTTTGTGGACTTGTTTGTCTTTTTGTTGCCATGGCGTTATCACAATAACGATAAGTCTAGTTGGACTTTTTAAGTTTTAATTTTGAATGTCCCCTTGGTATCTTCCGACTCTTTCTTTAAGCATTCACCACTAGAGCATTTAGCATTAAAACGCACTAATGTGTCGTGGTCGTACAATCTTTATTCACGGCCAATTTTCTCGTTATAGTGAGTGAATGTCGTGTATGTATATGTAAATACTAGAAGTCCTTTGATCATAAAAACTTCCATGCATGAGGTCGAGGATCAGCACTCGAACGAAAGAATGTTACTTTTTTATACTACTCATTACTGTGACTTGACTGTTAGTATTGCTCTCCACCTATTGCAACTTATTCAAAATTCTGTCCAAATTGCAATTTGTTTTATAAAACCAAACTGTTCAACTGGTCAGAAATTGCTGATTGTAACGTATTGTAATTTTACATATATTTTACTGAATATAAAATGTTTTAATTCAAATGATGTCTGATTCTTATGAATATAGAAGACTTTTCGAAGAAAAATTGTATGAAAGCTTTGTTTGGACATTTTTATAGCAATTCAAAACTTCTATCCATCACCTTTAGCATGACAATAACACTAAAATTTCTATACAAACTGTTAGACTGATTTTTCATAATAACATTGAAGCGGAATTAAAGTCTTATAGGATTGTAAGTATGCTTTATTTTATCACCTTGCACTTTCACGACTTTACTGTGGTTTTCTACAGCATTTTGTTCAAATTTCTGACCAGTTGAACAGTTTGGTTTTATAAAATGAATTGCAATTTGGTCAGAATTTTGAATAAGTTGCAATAGGTGGAGAGCAACACTAACAGTCAAGTCACAGTAATAAAACCCGGAGATGTTGGTTACTTGTCAACGAAGCAGCAACTCAACGACATACAAACACAAGACATCTTTAGGTCAACAACAACCGATAGATGTCCTGTAATATATGTCAACGAGTTTCAGAAATAATGTGAACAAAATTATCAGGGACTAAAAAAATCTTCCATAAATTCACCCAGTGGAAAAATATGTGGATATGTATATAAACGCAAATAAACATGTTTCGAGGTTAAACTTGAATTTCGAGATATACTCACCGCGATACAGCCTTTTGCGCCGATGCGCGGCGTAAAGCAATCATCGACCGATCAATCTAAGCTTTTTGGGTTGTTTAAAATTTCGTATTTCGTGTGGTATAAAATGTTTCATATTAGAAAGGTATAAGTAAGTAAAAAATAAGCCTACTTCCGTATATAAATTTATTGGAAATAAAAACATTTTTGTCTGCAAGTTCAGATAATCATTGAGGATTAAGTAATATCTACTGTGTAGTAATTTTATCTGGGGATTAGCCATCTTGGGTCTAGGACAGTATTGTACATCATGAGTGTAGAAACTTTATCTCCTGCCTGAGGCCAATGTATGCTATGGTGAAATAAGGAAGTGGATTAGCCAGTTATTGGGAGGGACAATTAAGATCAGATTATTGCACGAACTTGGACATGCAGTCATTCAGCTAATTTCTCTGAAAGAAGAAACATCTTTTATATATTTGAAACTTGGAAAATATTTTGTAACTTTTTGCAAAAATCGCTGTGTATAGCTGAAGCTGAAATTGTGAGGTTGTAGTTGTTTTTTCAAAAAAGGAGGTTACTTATTGTATGCAGATTTGTGTGTGAGATTCAGAGGGCTGACTGCATTTAAAGACTTTGCCAGAGCTGATTTCCAACTACTTGTTAAATTCCAAAGATCTGAGGAAGGTCCATCTTTGTTGAAAGTACAGCTATATTTCAGGTAAAAGCGAACCTTAAATTATTTTATTTATAATTTCAATTTTTGCCTTTGAACCATGATCAGACGTGCATTAATTTTTGGTCACTTTTTTATTCATAGATTGGAATCATTTGTGTTTAAAAATGGCTGTCAGGGATGGTTTAATTTGGGGTTTGATGGTACAGACATTCAAGTAGAATATTTCGGTTTGGGTGGAAGTACGATTAGTCCGGGCCCAAAATGCGTTCAAAGGCAAGAATTTATCAAAATTATTGATGATTATAAGCCTCATTGTGTTTTTCTTCAAATTGGCGGCAATGATTTTTTCCGCTGAATCAAATCCCGCTAGATTAGCAAGAGATATAATAGTTTTTGCCGATTACATAATCAAATGCTATAATGTTCGTCACGTGATTATAGGTCAGTTGCTCCCGAGATACTCCGGGGGTTTAAAAGACAATTATAATAACAAAGTTATAGAGATAAACAAAGAGCTACGAAAAAATGTATATCAACGTTG